ACATGGTTCAGAACGGCCAAAGACACTGACCGGTCCTGTGCTGTCTTACTCTCTGAAAACAATATCTTAATCCGGCAGAAGTCCTCAGAGGGCCGGACAGGATGTGCAATTGATTTTTTTCCATATGCATGTGTATGCATGCCCCTAGTAAAAAATAAATATATTAAAAAAGTATTTGAAATACATTTTATGCTGAGTATACTACAAATACATGTTGTAGTATACTCACAGTTTGCTAATTTGAAACAACTAATGTTGTGCTTAATGCACATTAATGCAATTTAATTTTGCAGAAGTAGTGCTGAAGTCCAACTAAAGATATACTGAAGTATATTGTGCTAAAGTGGAACTATTGCAGGTATACTTTAAATATCTTGCATTTAAAGATTGACATTATTCAATAGTCACATTTTAGGCTTAATGTTAAGAAATGTGCATTGTGCACAAGTAGTACTCCAAATAAAGTTTAATTATAATTTTTATATCAGTATGTCTTGAGCGACGTGTCAGTAATTATGCTCATAGATTTGAACTATACTTAGTATGAAATAAATGTATTATATATATATATTATATATATATATATATATATTTTTTTTACCAGGGTGGACAGTGGACACTGCAGATGTTCAAGATATCAAGATATTACACATATTTATGGTTTAATTTCTAAAGCGTGTATGCTGCTGACATTTTAACATTGACTGTCTCTGTCTCACACACACACACTTGACACTAAGGGTGCGAGAATAAAGTAGCTCTAACTACTCCCAGATGCTAGTTGGTCGTTGGTGTTTGTCGGGTATTTTGCTGACATCATCCCTCAGGAGTTGAAAGTATTCAGTGTGACAAGTTAAAAACACATTGTGAGCTTAAATTGCCAAGCTCATCGTGGTTTGAAGCTAAAAGGTAAAGCCAACGCACTCTTTTCAGGGCTCCAGACTAAAGAAAATGTCTAGGAAGCCACTGACTCCTAAAATTAAATACTTAGGAGTCAATGGACATCTTAGTTGACAAATAATAGAACCATAGAAAAAATATATATGTTCGGAGGTAATTTACTTCCCATTTGAGGCTGCCATTGTGATCCTGATCGTATTTCTGCTATTTAAATATCCATTTTGCAAGAAAATGTATGTGTGCTTTAAAATATATTGTGGTCCCAAAATCTCATCCAACTTATAGTTTTACTGCCAGTTAAAGATTCCATTTCAATAGATTCAAAATAACAACTGAACCTCACCATGTTAAACAACAACCCATTTTTGTTAAATATTAGATTTTTTTTCTCTGTGAGTTTGTTTGAATTCTTTTAATGATTCTTTAAATCATTAATGGCAAGAAATGAAATCATCACAGTGCATGCAAGAAATGACTACTTTATAATGGCGAATATATAGATCTGAAATGATTAGTAACAATAATTATTCCTGTTTCAATTATTTTGTTGACCAATTTAGTCACAGTTTGTAACCTTCCTTTTAAAAGTTAAAGGAACAGCCTTTTTGTCCTGTGGAACATATTTTGGGCAATGTTGGTAATCTCTGATTCTCAGTAAACATGTCAGACAACATGTAAGCGAGCAACTAACCAGTCCATGGACCTAATTTTGTCGATTCTCTGTATTTTTAGTGCAGCTTCCCGTTTTCTGATAGTAATGTGTCTTAGTTTAGCAGATGTCACGCAGGGAAAGATGATTAACAGACATAGGATATAGGACAGAGGATAATAGTGAGTGGCAGAACACCTGCAACAAAGGCAACTACAAAGAGGCCTCACTGGCAGCGCTTCCTTCCCCCCAGCCTATCTTGACCCCTCTGGAATCCCGCACCATCTTGGAAAAAGATTTCCAGCACTGCTCTTTATCAGATGCTGGTCCCAAGAGCCTGTTTAAAATCCCGGGGTTCACAAATCGAGTACCGGAGCGGTGAAATTAAAGGGTCAAGTGATGTAAGGTGTCCCACACCTGCAGATAAATCCACTTTCAATGGGATGACAGAACGAGGAGCAAATAAACATTGGACAGAGCGTGCGAGATAAAAAGAGAAGGATGTAGCCAATTGGCCAAGAGGGATCTTTAAATTTATTTTTGTTGTTTGTTAAAAACCCTGAATCATGTTCTGAACAGTGCACATAAAATCATTGTGTGTGTTAATGATCAAAGTGTGACATAAGGTCATTTATTTTACCATGCGGTTGGAATTGACTTGATAAGAGAAACAACCACAAGAATACAATCTGTCATTCCAACACTGAAGTCACATTCAACAACATGCCTATCTCACCTGATAGCATCAGACAGGTGTCAGAGAAAGCTGATGGGCAATAAGGTTACACTGCATCCCAAATTATGTTTTGTTAGGGCTGCTGTTACAATTTGTAAATACATGATTACTATCCAAAAGACAAATGTATCATTTCAATATGTTTTAGATATTTTAATTTATAATTTAAGAAAAAAAAGAACTTAATTACAACTAGATTAAATGCAATTTCAGTTATTAAAAAATATATAGATCAGGTTAATCTTGACTTTGTATATATGTGAAGGATTCCAGATTACAATGTTGATGTCATCATAACTAAAACATGTTAGAAATGCTCCTCTGCAAACAAGATACAATCAGCACTTTTCAGCTTAACAATTAATGTGACAATTATGCCATAAATTATATCAACGTCTAACTACTTATATTCCTAAGACATTTAACCGTCAACAGAAACAGCACAACAGAAGTGCAATAAACCAGAGAGCTTACTCAAAGCCATTTGAACTTCACCTATAAAATCATATCCCTCCATTAAAATAGAAACTATTTCCATTCAGAACAATAGAATGCAAACTGATTTGCATAAGTCCCTCAGGTACAACTTGTTATGGAACCGAAGTAGAGTTTGCCTAATGTTTTTTCTCTCTTTCATTTTTTAATTTATTTATTTTATTACTCATTATATGTGACCCTGGACCACAAAACCAGTCTTAAGTGGCTGGGGTATATTTGTAGCAATAGCCAACAATAAATTGTACGGCCAAAATTATCCATTTTTCTTTTATGCCAAAAATCTTTAGGATATTAAGTAAAGATCATGAAGATATTTTGTAAATTTCCTACAGTAAATATATCAAAACTTAATTTTTGATTAGTAATATGCATTGCTAAGAACTTCATTTGGACAACTTTAAAGGCAATTTTCTCAATATTTACTTTTTTTTGCACCCTCAGATTCCAGATTTTCAAATAGTTGTATCTCGACCAAATATTGTCCTATCATAACAAACCATACATCAATGGGAAGCTTATTCAGATGATGTATAAATCGGAATTTCAAAAAATTGACGGTCCAGGGTCACATATTATACAGTATGTAAGCAGGCCTCTTGTTTTGCTAAACAGCAGTGTAAAACTATGACAGCACTGATACTGTTGTTTTTAGGGCTTTGTGGTTTAACCTTCATCTCTTAAGCACTCAACACCACTTGTATCTGTACCTGCACTGTGTTTTTAATGACATTTGAGGTTTATTCAGGTCTTAATTTCTCTCATGTACATATACAAACAGTGTGCTTTATTTTAGGATGCTATGAAAACATTTGCCATGAACATGAATATAAATATTAATATTTACAATTGAAGTTAAGATGAAATCAATAATTGCATAGCATATTGCTAATGACATTACAGCAAATCTGAAAACTATTGTAGGCCTATTAAACAATAACTACATGAACCATTTAATTTTTTTATTATTATTATTTTAATAGGTAATCTTGTTTGCACATTTGTGCATTATTGCATGGTTGGCAAATTAGATCATTAATTAGCTTAACTTATTATATAAATGAGTTACAAGTGTCCACACATGAATTACCCTCTTAACACTATGTACTGACTGTTGACTGACGCATGTAGATTGCTTTTGAACCTCACTGAATTCTTGAGCATTGCCTCCCTCGTGTGGTTACATTATAAAACTGACGTTTTACTACATTTTCACACCAAAAACCTCTAATAGTCGCGTGTTAAACCAAACGGTTTATTAAATCTTACACATTAAACAGCCTATTATAGGCTTTTCAGATCATTTTTTATTTAAACCGTAAAAATGAAATGCAAATGAATTGTAAAACGTAACGTCCAAAAGAAAACATTTCGGCCAACAAATATAAATTAAGAAATTGTAGCCTAGGCTATAGGCCTACTATTGTGACAGCTTGCCTCATAAGATGACATTCATGAACAATAGTTATACCCTTGTCCTGAGAGAACTGTTTAAAATTGTGTTAAACATTCTTGTTACCCAACAGATCAGATGTGATATGCAAAATTATGGTTGCATTGAAATTGTAGTTCGGATTCACTATATAGGCTATTCTAATTAAGAAGCTTTTGTTGTTGAAAATGGTTACGATTAGGTGTGGGGGTGGGCTTCAGAGACGGGGACCAATCAGGTACAGCCCTCCAAGTGTACGAACCAATCAGAAGCAGAGGAGTTATTATTTAACGGTATATTTTCGATCCAACAATTAGTTAATTATTGTTAACACTAATTTAAGGATGACACCTTTTCATTCATCACACGTGTTTTTCACAGCAAATAAAATGCATTGTTCAGCAAACAACAACATGGTTATGCATCCAATGCATATGCAACGCATATAACCTGTCAGTTCTTCCATAGTGTAGTTACAGAAAAAACCGCCTTAGATACATAGGGACTGATGCAGGCGTGAATACAACACATTCAGTCCTGTGACCGTGTGAAAACGCGATCGTTTTGAAGCGTGCGTCTCCAAACGCCCCAGACGGCGCCCGCTGCTGCGAGTGCGAAACGAAAGTGCACTCGAAAGGCCCCGCCCCTAAATATTCCACGGGATGATCGATGTGTTGCTCAGCCAATCACATCAGAGAGACGACTGTATTTCCTGCGCTCTCAACGAATCAGAAATGACAAAGCACTGAAAAAAACACGAACTTCAACTTGTCAGCAAAACAGAGGGGGAGGGGACCAACATATGGCGGTCATATTTTTTGAAGCTGAAATAATGTGCTAGACATTTTATTGTGTTGTTTACCTCGCAGAAGGTAATTGAGTTTAAATACTCTTTGCTTGGACATTTATACTAATGTATATATGTCAGTGGGCAGCATTTTTGGCATTTGCTGATGAAATGTAGGCGGGCTAGCATGCTAACATAACTGTACAGACGGTTAGCGAGCTGCTGCTCAATTATATTAGACAGGGGGCTTTTACTGCTTGCTTGCTTTTAACTTTGACAACATAAAAGCAGGTGAATAAACTGCTCCTCGAATAATGCAAAACTGCTTGTAAAGCCAGGAAGATGAAGAGCTGTTCATAAACGTGCATTGGTAGCGCGCTGTTGTGGGAAGGTTCCAGAAAGTTTGAGATCTCAGGAAACTGCAATGGCGTGAGAGGAGACAGTCATGACAGCGGGTCGAGGAAGCCATGATCCTATCAGAGCAGCTCTCTCCAAATTACAAATTATAAACTTCTTCCTTTTTTCTTATAACATTACGGGTGACGTTGGCCACTCCTAATTATCAGTTGTTTTAAAAGGTTTCCTCGTTCTGCTTTGGACAGTAAACAGGCCTGCATGAGCGCATTTGTGCAGTCAACAACGGATTCAGCGCGGGTCATTGTTATGCAAATGACGCTGGAAGAGCTTGCGTAACTTTTGAACAACTCCATTTCTGGCCTCTGTGTTTCCCCATATATGAGCGGGAGACCGTATTTATACTTTTCCCCTTCTTCTTCTTAATAAATACCAACCGTGATAATAAAGCAATATATCAGTAAAGCAATATATCAGTAAAGCAATTTTAGAAAAAAGAATATAACTTGTTTAATAATTTGTTTCTTTTAATTGTGTTCATTATTATTATTAATAATAAAGCAATATTAGAATATAAATGCAGCTTATTTATTAAAAATGAATAACTTGTAAATGAATTTTTACTCTTGGTACTACCTCATATAATAAGTATCAGGGTTTCCACAGTCATGGAAAATTCAGGAAAATGTCAAATGCTGTTTTCCCGGCCAGGAAAAAATACGTTGAAATGCATTACTTAAAAATGTGGATCCTGAAAAATCATCATACAACTGCATGTATTTTCTTATTATGACAGAACTTGGTTTCAGGTTATTTATATATTATGATGCAATAAGCCACAAGAGACTGAAATGCGTGGCTTATTGCTTTTTTATGATAAAAGGCAACAGATGTTGTGCATAGTTTTATATATTAATAATCAGAATTCAATTGAATTCATGAGCCTAACTAGCTTTGATAAACAATGTAGCAACTTGCCACATTCTGATATAATTTATTAATATTAAGTTTAATAGCAATGTTATTGTGGCTTTGAACCATCTTTTTCATAAAACGTCTGACTTTATATATATATAGATTTTTTTTACTATTTTGAAAAATGCTGTCATTTGGGAGTCAAACAATCTTTAGAATTGGGACAAAAGTGAGAATCTGTCATTTACAGTAGGTTCAAACTTTTTTTCCCTTTCTTCCCACAGATTCTCATCCAATAGATGTCCACCCCCAACGAGCCACCAGTTGGTATGTCCCATGGTGGTCCCTCACCAGGTGCTGGCCTGTCTCCGGGGCCCATCCTAGGGCCCAGCCCTGGACCAGGCCCCTCTCCTGGCTCTGTACACAATCTGATGGGCCCCAGCCCAGGGCCCCCAAGTGTCCCGCATGCTATGCAGGGCCAAGGGGCTGGAGACTATTCACAGGACATGCACCTAATGCATAAGGTAGAGGATGGCTTTTGGCACTGGTTTTATTAAAATAGATCAATAGTTGTCCAGTATATTCAAAAACAGAAAAACGCTATAAATAAATGTAAAGGCACTTGTTGCAGGTTCATTTTTTAAACGGTATGTTTGAAGTTGCCAGTATGCCAGCAGCATGCATGACTAATCTCCTGTCTCTATTCAGCCTATGGAGGGAATGCATGAGAAGGGGATGGGAGACGATATGCACTTTGGCCAGATGAAGGGGGTGGGAATGAGATCCCTGCACAGTGGCATGGGTCCTCCACAGAGCCCCATGGATCAACACAGTCAAGGTACAATTACATATTGGCCACAATATAATAACAAAGCACTCCGAGGTTATAATTTTAACCATAATTGTAGTTCACCAGAAGAGGCTCTTGTTCTTCCGCCACTGAAGGAGGTAATTAAGGCAATTATTTCACAGTGTTTATTTATTGATTTATTTTTTTTGCATTTATCCTTGGGGCTGCCTTTTATGTTACACTAATTATCCTCATATGGTAATACATAAGATCTTTTGTACTTTGCTTTCTTCACACCAAGTTTTTCTCTGATCTGTACCTTTTACATTCCTTAATGTATCTTTAAATGTTCACAATTAAATATTCTGCAATTAACAGTAATGGATTGTTGAACGAAAATGTAGTATACATGTTTATTTATAATTGTTGATGGTAGCCTAAAGGTGCGGTCAGTGAAATTTAGTGGGCAAAAAAGGTCCATTGTCAATAATGTAGAGATGCATGAAGCACAGCTTATACAGAAGTCTCTTTCAAACCAAGCAGCTTTCTTTCAGTCAACGTGGTAAATTTGTGTGACCAACTTAACTCCGAGAAAAATCTTTGTGGGGAACATTTTTCCTCTTATGCAGAACTTCCAAGCATGCAGATTCCCATCGAAATGGATTTCGCAACGTTTTACAGACCGGCAGTAAATGTGGCCACACCATAATTTTAGAAAATTAAAAATTTGTACACAGTACTTTTGGGAAATATCATTACATTTTTCACTCACATTATATGAGGCGTCCATTTGTACCAGTCTTCTAGAAAAAGCTGTTTTATTCTGCAGAAAGAAAAAGACAAAATATCAAAAGAAAAACAAACAACTTTAGTATGGCAGTTATTACCAAGTACACTTTTAAATGACACCTTTAATAGCAATAAACTTCATAAATCTTTCCTTTTTTGCTTCTTAGGCTACATGTCCCCTCATCCCTCGCCATTGGGCCAGGTGCCGGAACATGTGCCCAGCCCTATGTCAGGAGGAGGGCCAACCCCACCGCAAATGTCTCAGGGTCAGTTACCCATGATGCCCATGGATCCACAGGGGATGGGACAGCAGGCCAGGGGTCAGTCTGCCTTCAGCCCAGTCCAGCTACAGCAACTAAGGGCTCAGATCCTGGCATACAAGATCCTGGGTCGTGGTCAGCCTCTGCCTGAGAATCTACAGTTAGCTGTGTTGGGCAAGAGGAGCCTCCCCACCATGCAACAGCAGCCCATCAACACTGGCCCCTACAATAGACCTCCAGGTGAATATGCTTATGGTCATTTTAGTGTTAGTCAGTGAGTCCAATTCCCTTAGGTCCAAATTACAGTTGTGCAATTTTCTCTTGTACTTTTATATTTGCAGTGTTTTAAGCCTGAATGCAACTGATGATATTCTGTACGAATTTGGTCGTCATGTTAGTTACACTTTTTTGTAATTATTTTTTGGCATTTTGTAAATTTTATTTTTTTTGCTAGGTATGCCAGTGCCTCATGGAGGGCCTGCAACGGGCCCATGTCCCTCTCCAGCCATGCAGACTCATACTGCTTCTGGGCCAAAACCATGGCCTGAAGGTGAGTGTGGGATGTATTTATTCTTAAGCATATCTCTGCATTCCACCAGATGGCACTGTTTTTTTTTTTTTCCTCTTTTACTCACCCTCATGTTGTTCCAAACCTGTATAGGTTTCTTTCTTATGTTGAACACAAAAGAAGATATTTTGAAGAATTTTGAAGAACCAAACAGTTGTTGATCCCCATTGACTTCCATAGTAGGGAAAAAAATACTATGGAAGTCAATGGGGACCATTAACTCTTTGATTACCAGCATTCTTCAAAATATCTTCTTTTGTGTTCAACATATGAAAGAAACTCATACAGGTTTGAACAACATCAGGGTGAGTAAATGATGACAACGTGTTTATTTTTGGGTGAACTATCCCTTTAAGTGACTATTTATCTATTCTAAAGTTAAGAATAATTTGTACATTGTCATAGTATTACTTCATATATTGAATTAGGTTTTATTTTTATATTTTCAGCTTGCATTTCAATTTTAGTTAAAGTTTTGGTCATTTTGTTGTGCTTTTTTCGTTTTTATTTGTTTTTGTGTTTTTAATATTTCTTGTTATTTAAATTTGAGTGCTTTAACTTTTTATTTTAGTTAGTTGCTGTCCAGCCTCTCAGACCAGATGTCCAGTTTTGCATTTTTTATCTAATATTTATATTTTAAGACAGAAATAAGAATTCTAATAAATAAGAAATAAGAGAAAATAATCTTCCAGTCATAGAGGTTTTCGTGCAGCCTGTCTTCCAATTCCAGGGTACATATCCTGGTTAAGTCTAAAAAAGATGTTTACATGGCATTAGCATATTACTGTATACTAGACATGGTGATCAGCCTATTTTGAGCTTTAGAAGTAACATTCAGGACAACGTTCAGACAGTCATGCACGTTCTAGTACTGCTGTGCTAATCTGCTCAGTCTTGCTTTATTGTGCTGCATGTAGTTATTGAATCAAAACATCTAATTTATGTCCATTAAAATGGCAAAGGTGAATTGTGAATGTAAGCCAGTAACCTTTCTGAAAATGAGACATTTACAGTGCTTTTTATCCATCTGTATATCGATTTGTTCATTTCTTTTATGTTTGTATGTGATGCAATGTTGTATTCGCTCCAGATACTGCTTAAATAGGAGCAAATTCAGATTTATGTATATTCTTGTGTACATGAAAATGCTCCATATAAATACAACTTTGAAAATGATTAAAAACTTGCTAACGGGCGACCTTACAGAGGTTAAATCACCTCACCAACATGCTTTCAAATGACAGTGAATTAATTCATGGATTGTTAGATCTTTATTGAAAGTCACTGAAGTTCTCACAAATTAAAGTTCATTGTTCATCTTTTCTTTTCAAGTGAGCTTGATTGGTGAGTCAGCTTGGTTTAATTGTAATCCACTGCTAATTGACTGTACTTGTGGAAGATAATATGCATCACCTCAGGTCAATTGACATTTTCACTGCATTTTTGCTCGATATGAAATGACTATGGACTGTTGCATGCCCTCATGGCAGGTTCAGCAACTGATTGATTGTGCCCAGCCAGAAATAAAGATCCAGAACTTGATCTTGAATCATCTCTTGTGTTTATGTTCTCATTTAGGGATTGCATGCCCTTTATAAAGTTTCTTTAAAGGCATTACATTTGGCTTGGAATGGGTCATATGAGTCTTTGTAAAGATTTTTCGTTTCAGAGGTGGACGTCAGTTCACACTGTGCTTTGAACTGTCTTAAAACCTTCAGCAACAGCTTTGATGAACTCTTTGAGTATGATCAAACATCCTAACGACAGTGAGCTTCTGAAATATAAAAGATATTACTTATGCCGTTTCATAATGGCACATTATATTGATTGTACTGACAACAGCGTAATGGATCACTGGAAGCGTAATGCTTTTTGGCATTCAGGAGCATTTCTTTGACAGACATGCCATTTTGATAAATCTCACAAGACGTTCACAAAGAGCATCTCCTTTATTGTCAGGTCAAGGCTCAGAGACCCCAAGCGCTCCACAGAAGCTGTTGGTCCCAGCTCCCAGCGGCAGACCCTCTCCAGCTCCCTCGTTGGCCCTCACTGTTACACAACCTGTGCCCTGCACCTCCCTCACCTCCCAACCTCAGCCACCACCAGGACCAGGCCAGCCCTCCCTCATTATCCAGCTTCAGCAGAAACAGAATCGCATCACACCGATTCAGAAGCCTCAGGGTCTGGACCCTGTTGAACTCTTGCAAGAGAGGGAATACCGGTATGTAATGAGCAATTAAATTCAACTTAATCTACACTGAGCAATCTACACTGGTCAAAGGGGTCATGATTTTCAGTTTTTAGTTTATGATGTTACCTCAGATGCACTAATGTCTTTGTCTTTGTCACTGCAATTAAAGGGGCATGCATGTCTCTAAGACTTTAGTGTTAATATCTTTATACGTTATTCCAAATGTGGATGTGTACCAAGTCAAATTAATTGCTGGGTCATTCTGTGTCAACTCAACCAGAGGTCCCCGGCTCAAATTTTTGAAATTGCTAATATTTTTTCTGAAGAAAGATAAACATAGTGATGAAAGCCAAAATATTAAATATCGTAGATGAATATTTACTGAGTAATCCACTATTTTGCAGAGGGGGTCAAAATGGCCATTTTCACCTGAGATTCAGAGCCAAACTACAGGGGGATAAAAATGACTTCAGAAAGATGACAGCATCATTATGTTACTTTTACACAGAGATTGGTAGATCTATTACTGTAGTAAAATCTGTTGACTTTACCAATCTTTGCTGCATTATGTGCCAGTGGTGACCATTCAAAAATGGGGAAAGAGCACTTTTCAAGTTTTTTCTCCAAAGTTTGCAGGCCTGTAACTCAAAAAATATTAAAGATATCTTAATGCCCTTTTAGATATTGGGTCTTAACAAACTTCCCTTTTGGCACCTTTATTTTGAAGGCTCTATATGATTCAGTTCCAGAGATATTGTAGTTGTAATATGGCTCCAGGAGTAAAACGTTAAATTGTACACATTTTCAGTGGTCAAAAACCAAATGTGGTTCACTTTGAAAAAATATGATGCTTCTTTTCTTTTAAAGAGGAAAGTCTGATGAACAAATAATATTCAAACCAGAAATGTATCTTGTTTCCTTCTGTCAAAACAACTGCATTGAACATGCATGTCTGAGTGCAATAAATATTATTTTTCCAAAGTTTGCATGTCTGTAACTCAAGAAGTATTAAAGATATCGCAATATGATTTTAGATTCTAGTCCTTAATGACATTTTCTTTTAGAATCTTCATCTTCTAGGCACTACTAAGATGCCAAAAGGGAAGTTTATTAAGACCCAATATCTAAAAGGGCATTAAGATACCTTTAATATTTTTTGAGTTACAGGCCTGCAAACTTTGGAGAAAAAAACTTGAAAAGTGCTCTTTCCCCATTTTTGAATGTTCACCATTGTCACGTAATGCAATTGCTAAATAATGCAATTGCTAAAGTCAACAGATTTTGCTAATAGACCTACCAATCTCTGTGTAAAAGTAACGATGATGCTGCCAATGAAGTCATTTTTAACCCCCTGTAATTTGGCTCTGTATCTCAAGTGAAAATTGCCATTTTGACACCCCTCTACAAAAAAGCGGATTACTCAGTAAATATTCATCATTGACATTTAATATTTTGGCTTTCATCACTATACATGTTTATCTTTCTTCAGAAAAAATATTAGCAAAATCAAAAATTTGAGCCAGGGACCTCTGGTTTAGTTGACACGGAATGACCCTGCTTTATATTTATTTTGCTGGAATATTTTGCCTTTAGTTTTGTTGCTGAAGCAAACAATTACAGCTCATTTGGACTACAATGCTTTTTCCAGATATTGTGAAGTAATAATTTCACTCATTTGAATAATTCCCATCCACGGAATACGCAAAAAAAATAAATAAAAGGACAAGGCCTGGATGAATTGTGCTAGAGAGCATAGACTAAAAAACAACAACAACAAAAACACTCTGAAATGTCCTGTAAAATCCATGCTGCAAAGGTTCTGCACAATCCTCTTGTTCATTCATAATTGGTATGGAAAAATGATATGGAAGATTTGACACCATCATTAATATTTGCAGTTGAGCAGATCGTGGTTATGGTAATAGGTGTGTCATTTCCGGAACATGCTCTAAGCGGTTTGCCAATCACAACAAAATTTGGGTGTGGATTCAAGCAAAACCACCTGTCTTCCATTGCTCGTCTGTCTATAAAATATCACCAGACCTATGGGTGTTGTTTTGGGGGGCTTTGTGAGCTGTAATAAATGTTAGAGGAGAGTGAGGAACCCTCTGAGGATTCTGAAAGTTCCTTAGAACGTGGTGATTACACTGGCTTGCACTGTCTGAAGCAACAGGAATGTGTTGATTGTTTGATGTACCTTGAGGTCACCATTTTTTTTTCTTTTCTTTTTTCCGTCTGTACTATCTATTTTTTACTTAGTGAAAGGTTCAGATCTTGCAGGTGATTTATACTTCTGGAGAACTCTAAGGTAACTAGAAATTATTAATGCCTAGGAAGTTCACCTTCAGAGACATCTTGCTTGATTGACAGTTTCTGCTCTCATATTTTAACTTTATGACCATTATAGGTTATTCTTAAAAAAAAAACAATTAGATAGGATTCAGTACACCTGTCCTTTTCATTTCTGTTCAAAGTCTTCAGGCCAGGATTGCTCACAGAATTCAGGAGCTGGAGAATCTGCCAGGATTGCTGCCACCTGATCTGCGGACTAAAGCTACTGTGGAGCTGAAGGCCTTAAGACTGCTCACCTTCCAGCGGCAAGTGGGTTATTGACATGGCACTCATTTTTTGTCATATTTATTAATTTATTCAAAAAAGTAATTCATACAACAACTTCTATGATGAGGATGTTTTTAATTGATAAACATTAATATTTTATCATTCTGTGTAAAAGTGTTATTTAATAAAAAAATATATATTTCTGTCCTGATATCATAATGAAGACAAAAATCATAGTTTAGCATAATCTTTAAACTCATCCATTGCTTATTAATACTGTATTAATATCATGTGATGCAACTCTTAATGATATTTTTGAAATAACATTTTATGGAATGTGTTAATAAATATGTTTTACCCTGAAAAATATATTTAAAAACTTGTGTATACTCACATCTATAAATATGTTATTTTATTTTATTTATAGGTATGTCTTTTTTATTGATGGTTACACTACATGATATATCATTTCATTTAAACTTTCCTTGAAAATGGTATAAAAGCATTTCAAAACCCTTGATACTCTTGTATATAATTAATCCATGAATAAATTACAAATAAATGTCATTATTAATATTAATAAAGTACTCAAATAATTCTCACGTTTACTGGTGCACATAACTAATACAATCTTCATAAATGCATATATCCAGTAATTTATTACTCATAAATCACTCATAAATTGGGAGACACTTACGTTTGCTGTTTCTTTACAATAAATAGAATAATTTACAATAAGCCAAGCTGTTCAAAATGTACATATTTTTGATTTGCAGGTTCCATTGAGCTTTGTCCTATTCACATTGTGTGGATGGTGATTGTGTGGATGGTGATGGTGTCTGAAGTTGTGCTATGAATATTTAATTTATGCTGGACAGTGGAAGTCACCATTAGAGGGCGCCCATGTTGTATTTGTAGCACACAGTCCCTTCACAATTCACAGCCTTTTTCTGCTGTAATTAGCAACAATTATGAAAAAAATGTGTGAAATGCATCAGAATATGATTATCATTTGATGAAGCTCATTAGCTTAATGCATTTTGCCACAGATGACAATTATGAATTTATTTTCTTTCTTAGTTGAGGCTCGATGTTGTAGCCTGCATGCGCCGAGACACAACTCTGGAGACGGCCCTGAACTCCAAAGCCTACAAGCGCAGCAAGAAACAGACACTTAGAGAAGCTCGCATGACAGAGAAACTAGAGAAGCAGCAAAAGATTGAGCAGGAGAGGAAGCGCCGCCAGAAACACCAGGTGATCAATGAATGATCATTGTACCAAGTGTAATCAATTCAATGGACTAAATAAACTCAATATACTAACAAAAAACAACAGACAAGCTCCCACAGCACAGCTCATATACACAATTTATGTGCTTACATATTGATGAACTGATAAAGATGTTTTTAGAGGAGTCATATCATGAGGAATCAAATTTCCTTGGCCTGCACAGTCACGGTGTGGCAATAACGAGCATGTATGATAGTGCTGTTAAAGCTAAACAGTGAAAAAGTGAAAAATGTTCCTCCTGGCAGTGTGTAATAGTTGACACTTTGTCTGACCTTCTGAGGGTGCCTATAGTCAGAAACAGGTGGCTAAAGCTTTTTTTAAACATGTCTCTAAATATTTCAGTCTGACAATAACAGTTTTTTAAAATTTAACACACAAAGACAGCATTCACACAAAAGTCTTCAAGCAGCAAGCAGTTTTATTCTTATTCTTAGAGTTTGGAAATTATGAACTAAATTATAATTAGAGACCTTGATTAGCATGGACACTGGTGCTCTAAAGTGGGGTCAGTCATGTAAAAAAAAAAATGTTACAGAAATGTTTTATTTAAAAAAAAAAAAAAAACTCTTCGGCAAAGCATTCTGAAAAACAAATGTATCAACTGTTGAACCGTTGATAATAAGACATGTTTCTTGAGCCCCAGTTTAGCATATTATACTGATTTCTGAAGTATCATGTAACACTGAAGACAGGAGTACTGGTGCCAAAAATTCGGCTTTGCCATCACAGTTACTTTAAATTATAACAATATTTTACAATATTACTGTTGATAAAATGAATACAGCCTTGGTAAGCATAAGCGACTTTGTTTAAAAAAATTAAAACATCTTGCCAACAGTAATTAGAGACCTTGATTAGCATGGACACTGGTGCTCTAAAGTGGGGTCAGTCATGTAAAAAAAAAAATGTTACAGAAATGTTTTATTTAAAAAAAAAATGCTTTCTCTTCGGCAAAGCATTCTGAAAAACAAATGTATCAACTGTTGAACCGTTGATAATAAGACATGTTTCTTGAGCCCCAGTTTAGCATATTATACTGATTTCTGAAGTATCATGTAACACTGAAGACAGGAGTACTGGTGCCAAAAATTCGGCTTTGCCATCACAGTTACTTTAAATTATAACAATATTTTACAATATTACTGTTGATAAAATGAATACAGCCTTGGTAAGCATAAGCGACTTTGTTTAAAAAAATTAAAACATCTTGCCAACACCAAACTCCAGATTTTGCTCTTTGATTCATGCGGTGTTTTTCTCTTCTTGTTGTAGGAGTATCTCAACAGCATTCTGCAACATGCAAAAGATTTCAAAGAATATCACAGATCCATCTCTGGAAAAATCCAAAAGCTGTCTAAAGCCATCGCAACATGGCACACCAACACAGAGAGAGAGCAGAATAAGGAGAAGGAAAGAATCGAGAAAGAGAGGATGAGGAGACTGATGGTATGATGCACTGTTTCCAGCATCATATACTGTATAATACTTTTTTACATCGTCTTGCTGACTTCATTCCAAAATGAACATACAGCACATCATACAGTCTAGCTCTTGAATAAATGGCCCGATTGGTGATTTTCCTTCTGTTGATCATTAATTCTTAAATTAATTAATTAATTCTTAAAATTAAATCATTCTTAAAAAAACGTGTGTTTTAATAAAAAATTATGTCTGTATATTGTTTAAAATGTATTTAAATTATATAGAAAAATATATATATAAGGAGAGGCAAAAACCACAATCCTTTTAAGGGTCTTAGGGAAGAGGCTTTCCTTAAAGGTTCTCACAGGCTCTCCATCTCTTTTCACTAGGCTGAGGATGAAGAAGGTTACAGGAAGCTAATTGATCAGAAGAAGGACAAGCGTCTGGCCTACCTTCTTCAACAGACCGATGAATACGTGGCCAACCTGACTGAGCTTGTCTATGAACACAAGGCTGCTCAAGCTGCCAAGGAGAAGAAGAGGAAGAGAAAGAAGAAAAAGGTCACAAAGAAACCATAAAATCACTTATGATGAAGTTTGATGTTGTTATTTTAGACATGTTTAATTTGGTTCAGTTCCTTACCGTTTATCCCACCGTGGTTTTGTAAATCTCGACTCCAGTCAGTAGCTTTAGGACATTTCTACGATCATCAAATACTCTATGCTTGTTTATTTCTTTCATGTTTAACCTTCAGAAGGAAGCTGGCGATGCTGAAGGAATGGGAGCCATCGGGCCTGATGGAGAGGTAAATAAATTGCTACGAAAATGAAAGCAGAGTAGACATGAATGTATGTCCCTCCAGTTAACTCACTCTGTCAAACCTAATCTAACACAGCTTGTCACAGAAAACATGCTTTTATGTTTACTTATTCCTGCAGCTCATAGATGAGAACAGCCAGATGAGTGAGCTGCCAGTCAAAGTAATTCAGACTGAGACTGGCAAAGTGCTGCAGGGGACAGATGCCCCCAAGTCCAGTCAGTTAGAGGCCTGGCTCGAGATGAATCCTGGGTAAGCTGTCCTTACATTGCATCCTCTGTGTGTCCGGTAATTGAAAACATTTCCATAAAAATATGACCCGTCACTTGTATTGAGCTGTGAAGCTGTTCTGAGCCATGTGTTCGCAGAAGTGAGTGGTGAAGGAAATGATGAAAGGGATGCACTGAAATTTTGCTCACTGAAAGGAACATTAAAATTAAATATAATGCAAATTGAAATTACTGTGCATGTGTATCATCTTAAAGCTTCTGCTAAGAAAAATATTGCATTACAAAGTACGAAACATTTGACCTAACAAGATAAACACTGTAGTTCACTGCAATAACATTAGTTGTAAATGTATTAATAATATTAAAGTCTGCATGAAATAAATCATGTTATAGATCTTATTGTAAACAATTCACCTGTGAATATGTTTCTTTTTTTAATTATAAATTTAATAAAAGTAATACAATTCAGTCCTGGGTAAGCTGTCCTTACATTGCATCCTCTGTGTGTCCGGTAATTGAAAACATTTCCATAAAAATATGACCCGTCACTTGTATTGAGCTGTGAAGCTGTTCTGAGCCATGTGTTCGCAGAAGTGAGTGGTGAAGGAAATGATGAAAGGGATGCACTGAAATTTTGCTCACTGAAAGGTTCATTAAATTAAATATAATGCAAATTGAAATTACTGTGCATGTGTATCATCTTAAAGCTTCTGCTAAGAAAAATATTGCATTACAAAGTACGAAACATTTGACCTAACAAGATAAACACTGTAGTTCACTGCAATAACATTAGTTGTAAATGTATTAATAATATTAAAGTCTGCATGAAATAAATCATGTTATAGATCTTATTGTAAACAATTCACCTGTGAATATGTTTCTTTTTTTAATTATAAATTTAATAAAAGTAATACAATTCAGTATTGAACTGATCAGAATTTTGGTTTGTGTAATCATTTATGTAATACTAAAAAATGTAATATAGAATAGTGTTTAAAAGGCTCATTTATAATTAGCATTTTCATGTGTCCAGACGTTTTGGGTTTGGGCAAGAATATTCCTTTAAGCGCATCATTAGATGAAAGTGATAGAGAAAGACCTATCCAACAGAGACAGCAGCTTTGTGCAACCCTCCTATGTAGCATATTTTTTATTTAACTGTGTTGGAGGGGGCTTTGATAATGAGCACCTTTTTTGAGCTTGTGTTGTCAATAAACCATTCTAAGGCTTTGAGTGTTTACTAGTGCATTATGCCCTTTAAAACAGCTATGAAGTTGCTCCACGGTCAGACAGTGAAGAGAGTGGCTCGGAATTTGAAGAGGAGGTGAGTGTCCTTATTTCTGCTCATTAAGCATTGACAGCTCCTTGGTGTGGAGTGAGTCATACATACAGTAAGTACACAACATCACACACATTATTATCCTTTTCTCTGCATCCATAAATAATCTCCCATAAGTCTTTTAGCATCTGCCTTAGTAGCTCCTTTATTTTTTACTTATGCTGTATATTGTGGAAGTCAAGCAATCACTGTGCGTTAAATGAGTGTAATGCGCTAATACTCCCTTTTAGGATGATGAAGAGATGGTCTCCAGAGCTGAATCGGAAGAAAAGAGAGTCATCGATCCCAACAGTGATGAAGTATCTGAAACGGCAGCCAAGCACATCATAGAGTATGTTGCCTGTTCTCACTTCAAAGCAAAAAATGCCTTGTTGAGCTGGAGTGCAAAAAAAGTAGGACGGCAAGATTCGGGTGTCGATAGCTGTTATGCTCTTCTTTTATTTCTTACTTCTGTCAGCATCTGCCTCAGCTGGAGGTCCGCCTTTGCTGAACAATATAGTGGGGTTCAAAAGTCCAGTTGTGAAAATGCTTCTATTTTGCACTTTTCCAATTTTTTGATTTTTTTTCATTGCAAATTATATTATCAGCTGAAAAATTTGAGCAAAATAGGAAATTCAGTATTTCACTTGGTCTCTCTTTTACTTTAAGTGCTCAACAAGTACTGAAGATGGCCATGATATGAGATGATTCAAAACATTGTTAACTAAAACTAAAGACATAAACAACATTTTTGTTACTTGAGTAAAATTCATTATATTAAAGTATCTTAAGCATATTTTATTTCAGCTGGTTTCCAAGGCAGCATTTCTCATTTTCATTTAGTTTAACTTCTTTGTCATAAAGTTTAGTTTCATTTCTTTGTTGGAAAGTTTATTTGTTTAAACTATGTTTATTTACTGGTTTAAATTTGATTTAATTTCTTAGACTTTTGAACCTCACCGCACATTCTATAATTACTAGAGCTGTCAAAAGATTAAAATAATTAATCTCAATTAACCTTTAGATGTTTTGTAATTAATCTCAAATTGCAATTAGCTAAAGTTTTCCTCTAAATACACTCAGTGAGCACTTCATTAGCTTTACATCCACACTGCTTCTTAATACAAACGTCTAATCAGTCAATTTCAATGGCGACTCGCTGCATGAAAAAATGCACACATGGTCAAGAGGTTCAAATATCAGAATAGCCAAGAAATGTTACTTAGACCGTGAAGTGATTTAGTTTCATTTCTTTGTTGGAAAGTTTATTTGTTTAAACTATGTTTATTTACTGGTTTAAATTTGATTTAATTTCTTAGACTTTCTTAGACTTAGACTTAGATTTCTTAGACTTAGACTTAGATTTCTAACCTCACCGCACATTCTATAATTACTAGAGCTGTCAAAAGATTAAAATAATTAATCTCAATTAACCTGTAGATGTTTTGTAATTAATCTCAAATTGCAATTAGCTAAAGTTTTCCTCTAAATACACTCAGTGAGCACTTCATTAGCTTTACATTCACACTGCTTCTTAATACAAACGTCTAATCAGTCAATTTCAATGGCGACTCGCTGCATGAAAAAATGCACACATGGTCAAGAGGTTCAAATATCAGAATAGCCAAGAAATGTTACTTAGACCGTGAAGTGATTGTAGGTGCCAGATGAGGTTACAGTGTCTCGGGAACTGCAGGTCTCCTGGGATTTTCACAGACAACAGTCTCTTGAGTTTCCAGAGAGTGGTGTGAAAACTAAAAAGCACCCCGTGAGTGGGCAGTTCTGTGGGTGAAAAGTCCTTGTCAATAAGAGAGGTTGGAGGAGAATGGGCAGTCTGGTTCAAGCTGACAGGAAGATGAAGTAACTGAAATAACCACTCGTTACGTGCTGTGCATTCAGACATTCTCACCTGCACAGCACATTCAACCTTGAACTAGATGGGCTATAGCAACAGAAGAGTACATCAGGTTTCACAACATAAATCTGTAGATCTGTTTTGCCTTGTGTCAGTGGATCAGGCTGATGGAAATGTCTTAATAGAAACCGAGCATCATTTGAAAGGCACAGCCTACTTGCGTATAGCTGCCAGTCAGCACAGCCTCTGATTGCATAGTGTTTTCTGTAGAACCTTTTGTGAAGACACACAAGTCATTTCAAGCTGGCTCAATGAACGTGTCTGCCAGTTTCCAACAAAGGAGAGCCCCATAGGGGGAGTTGTAGATCTTGTCAACATAGACCATAATCTCTATGGATTGTTTCCAGCACCTTGTTGAATTCTTGCTGTGAAGAATTCAGTCATTTACAATATCCAGTGTTACATTGCATTTATACATTTTCCCTGGAAATTGGACCCATGTCCTTTGCATTGATAGTGCCATGCTGACCAGTGAATTTACAGGAAATAATGAAGTGGCCACAGACTGCATATAGAGTGTAATGCATATTTCTAAAGTGTTGTGCATCCAGTTTTAATGTATTTATTTGACATATTAGACGAATTGTTTTAGTGAAAGGTGCAGTTTTACCTTGCTTGTTGCAAGTATCACAAAAATAATTATTTTGGAGACACTTTAGTTTAGGAACTGTAGGAAACGTTTTCCTCGTCGAAGCAGAGACCAGGCGACTCTTAGGTATCTTCAGCAGAGTACTTTATTGAGAACACGCTGCGAGGCACTGCAGTCATCAAAAGTCTGACTAAGGCAGTGATACATTGTAGTTTATATACATTTTAAGGGGGAGGGATACATTCAGTAGAGGTGGAGACAATCTAACCCATAGCATGCAAATGAAGTACAGGAATCCGCCCGACACAGGCATTTTCCCAGCCTTGATCTCATCAGTATAACAGTGTCATTCAAATGCATAGGTGCTAATCCAATGAGTCTGACAGTATCGCCATACTTTCGCATTATCACAGGCAAAGGTACAGCTGTGCTTTGAGCTTAAAAAGCCAGATGGTCAGGAAGAGCATAAAGACAAAAGGTCTGGGCTTCCTGATTTGATCTCCTTAGAAAGGTCATCCTTTTTACCTCAAAATGTAAAACACAAGGTACATAACTTTTTCAGTATATATTGTATTACATTGGAACCTAGATTTAACATTTTATAAATTTGTAATACAGCAGTAACCAATTCTCATATTAACTAGTTGTCTATTAGCATGCATATTAATAGCTTATTGGCTGTTCATTAATACCTATAAAGCGCATATTAATACTTTATTCTGCAAGACCATATTTTCAATCCCTTAATCCTACCACATACCTAAACTTAACAACTACCTTACTAACTATTAATAAGCAGCAAATTAGGAGTTTAGTGAGGCAATAGTGGTAGTTAATAGTTAACAGTGAGAATTGATCCCCAAACTAAAGTGTGACCGATATTTGTCATAAGAATCGTGTAAAATGGAGTTACCTGACAGGGATGAAATGTTTATGGGCGGTACATTTTCACAATTCAAGTGGAATTGTCAGGTGTGGTAATACAGTATGTTACAGGAATAGTACACCCAAAAATTATTATTGTCATTATTACTCACTCTCATGTCGTTCTTCACTCATAAGACTTCCGAACACAAATGAAGATATTTTTAAGATTCTTTAATTATTTTGTTGATCCCTTTAGCGTCCATGCAACCAAAACTTTTTTATGCTTCAAACAGTTATGTAAAAGAAATCCTTATAATTTAAGCGGTTTAATCCAACAATTGCTATATATGATGAATGGATTTGCTTGAACTTTTAATGGATAGACAAAAGTGCTGAAAGAATATAAAAAAATATCTTCATTTGTGTTTCGAAGATGAATGAAAGTCTTTTGGGGAAGGGTAGGCTAAATGATGACAGACAGATTTTTCATTTTTGAGTAAACTATCCCTTTTAATGTTGGACCCTGTGTTGCAGGTCTGCTAAGCAGGATGTGGATGACGAGTATAGTGTTCAGGCAGGACAGACCAGCTCCCAGTCTTACTATGGAGTGGCCCACGCGGTCATAGAGAGGGTGGATAAACAGTCCACCCTACTGATCAATGGGACCCTCAAACACTACCAGGTAAAGGAACAGTTAAACCAAACTCTAAACAGACACCTCCACAGATGCATTATACTCAGAATCCATCTTCTCTGAAGAGAGCTGTGTAGGTTTAAATGATATTTCGAGGGATTCATTATACACTAGAAATGGAACAGGCTGCTGGAAAGAAATCACACAGAGAGGAAATATCAAAAATTGAGTGGTTTGTATTGAATCTGTTATCCCCTTTGGGCAGTAATGGATTTCAAAAGGAAAAACAAGCCCCTTTTTCTTCTAATTTTCTTTTCTTCCCAGCCTGATTGCTGGAGTGTTTTAAAGAAAAACTTCAGAGAGACTGTTTATCCTTTTGAAAGAACTAAGTGAGCACTAGGATTCATGTTTTGATTCCACTCAGCGGCTGTGAAACACCATTTGGGTCTATTGTCCCTTGTTGTTCAATGAACTATTGTGGAATCTGTGTGTCATGCGTCTGCTCGGTTGTCTGTTTGAAATGATTTGATATGATATTACCGCCATATAACAAGTCTTTTGTTCAGATCCAGGGTCTGGAATGGATGGTGTCTCTGTACAACAACAACCTAAATGGTATTCTGGCTGATGAGATGGGACTGGGGAAGACCATTCAGACTATCGCACTTATCACTTATCTGATGGAAAACAAGAGGCTCAACGGGCCGTACCTCATCATTGTACCGCTCTCGTAAGTCCAGCAAACAAGCTGTGAATAACGTGTTCAGAGGTGTAATGAGGTGAGCTGCCTGAGAGGATTTGAGGTGTAATGGCTTCATTAAGTAGCTAAACACTGTTACACATAGTTCAGTTGACCTCTAATGACTGAAAGCACAATAGTGATTCATGATGTTGCGTTTTAGGCAACATATGGCAGCACTACAGGCCACTGAACCGTCGTTATATTGATCATGCATGGTTGGTTGGAGATTTAATTAAATTGATTCTCTGATGGCAGAGCATCTTGTAACATTTTTTGTGTAGTTGGGGGTGTTTTATATTCTCAGTAATGTACATTTAGGCTGCTCTAGGATATCCTTCCCCACTAATGTCACAGAGACTTCCTGTCTGTAAAAGCCCCTTTGGGACATAGTAAAAATAGCCATCAGCGCTGTTTTAGCTTAAGTTAATGTGATTGATTTGTGCAAGGGCCAGAAATGTCCTCAAACCCCCTCACCTCACATCCATCATTAACTCTGTTCCACGGTCACACCATCACATATCATTTAGAGATGTGACTTCGTTTAAAGGTAAAACGTTTATTCCAATCAATGGCTTCTGGTATAAAAATGACAATATTGATTTTTATTCCTCTTTTTTACAGGACTTTGTCCAACTGGGTTTATGAGCTGGACAAGTGGGCACCAAGTATTGTGAAAATTGCCTACAAGGTAGCCATTGATTTTTATTATCACTATGTTTTGTTACTGTGGATGATATAATTTTATGATGTAATATAACATGAAGGTAATAAAATCAGAGGTAATAACGGTTCTGTTTTATTTTGTCTAAGGGCACACCATCAATGCGGAGGTCTTTGGTGCCGCAGCTCCGTAGTGGGAAGTTTAATGTCCTTATAACCACCTACGAGTACATCATCAAAGACAAGCAAATTCTCGCCAAGGTAAAGGCCACATAAATTAGCATTTATGCGTTTGCAGACACTTATATCCGTAGTGACTTACAGTGCATTCTATATATAAACTAACTAAGTTTGGGTCGGTAAGACTTTTTAATGTTGTTGAAAAAAGTATTTTATGCTCACCAAGGCTGCATTTATTTAATCAAAAATACAGCACAACAGAAATATTGTGAATTTTTTTGTTTCTGTTTTCTATTTTAATAGATTTTAAAATGTAACTTAGCTGAATTTTCAGCATCCATTACTCCAGTCTTCAGTGTCACATGATCCTTCAGAAAACATTCTGATATGCTGATTTGGTGCTTAAGAAACATTTCTTCTTTTTTTCTTCTTAATATTTTAGTGGAAACAGTGATGCCTTTTTCCGGAACTAGGAAGTTAAAAAGAGCAGCATTTATTTAAAATGAAAATATTTTGTAACACTGTAAAAGTCTTTACTGTTCCTTTTGAACAGTTAAATGCTTCCATGTAAAAGTATTAATTTCTTTCTTTCTTTAAAAATAAATAAATACATAAATAAATAATAATAATACTGACTCCAAACTGAATGGTTCAGTAGTGTACTTTTTATGTTCATGCATTCCCTGGGACTCAAGCCCATGACCTCGGAGTTGCTTGTGCCAATGCAAAGCCCGTTTGTACAAAAATCAGTGCCTTTATGCTCTAATTGTTGAATCTTTTCCAATTCCCAGATTCGCTGGAAGTATATGATAGTGGATGAGGGCCACCGCATGAAGAACCATCACTGCAAGCTCACACAGGTGTTGAACACTCACTACGTTGCTCCCAGAAGGCTGTTACTTACTGGAACCCCTCTGCAGAACAAATTACCTGAGCTCTGGGCCCTGCTCAACTTCCTGTTGCCCACCATCTTCAAAAGCTGCAGCACCTTTGAGCAGTGGTTCAATGCTCCTTTTGCAATGACAGGAGAGAGGGTAGACTTATATTTCACCCTTGTAGATTTAAATGGCTGTTTTATATGTTACACTGTGGCTTAATCAGGTTTCTCTCTGTTACGGATTGCATTGGTGTTTGTTAGGTGGATCTAAATGAAGAGGAGACCATCCTTATCATTCGTCGTTTGCACAAGGTGTTACGTCCCTTCCTTCTGCGCAGACTGAAGAAAGAGGTGGAGTCTCAGTTGCCTGAGAAGGTAAGTAGCCACTCAGTTTTTTTTAAACAGTTTTTATTAGACATTGTATGATGATAGTAAAAAAACTAGATATGCATTGGATGTACTGAAATGAACATATAGTGCCCAGTCAGAGCAACTAAATGGTTTAATATATGAATGGAAAACAAATCCAGTCACAATTCAGTTTGCGAATATAATATTTACTATAAATATTTTTTTTAATGTTACATTTTCATTTCATTTTTTGCAAAAAGAAAATTTACAACATTATATATTCACAAAATTATTGTATTTATAAAAAAAAGAAAAGAAAAAAGCATTTTTTTTTTGAAAAGCATCTTCAAAATAATGTTTGAATGAAGTCTATATGCCTTGCAATTCAGGCTATGTTGATGCATTGGCTCTTCATTTGTCACAGGTGGAGTATGTCATTAAATGTGACATGTCAGCCATCCAGAAGGTTCTGTACAGGCACATGCAGGGCAAAGGCATCCTGCTCACTGATGTTCACGTCATTCTGGTAAAGGTTGATCTTAATTTCAGCCGTCCAAAGAATACTTTTCCAGAAGTGGTCTGGCTAATCTGGCCTTGTTTGCACCTTGTGGTGAACCCTCTGTATTTGCTCTCGTGAAGTCTTCTCTTGATTGTAGACTTTCACAGTGACACACCTACCTCCTGGAGAGTGTTCTTCTCTTGACTGGATGTTATGAAATGTTTTTCTTTACCATGGAGAGGATTCTCCGATCATCCACCACTGTTGTCCTCCGTGGACGTCCAGGCCTTTTTATGTTGCTGAGCTCACCAGTGCATTCTTTTTTTCTCAGAATGTACCAAACTGTTGATTTGACCACTCCTGATATTCCTGCTATCTTTCTAATGGATTTGTATTGTTTTGAAGCCTAACAATTGTCTGTTTTACTTGTATGGAGAGCTCCTTTGACCGCATGATGTAGGTTCACAACAACAGCTTCCAAATGCAAATGGCACACTTAGAATCAACTCCGGACCTTTTACCTGCTTAATTGAAGTATAAATAATGAAAGAATAGCCCACATCTGTCCACAAAACAGTTTTTCCCTTGAAAAAGGGGAGAGGTACATATTAAAGAGCTGTAATTCCTTAACCTTTCCTCACATTCTGATGAGAATACCCTCAAATTAAAGCTCAGAATGTGCACTTTAAGCCCATATTCATTATATAACTGTAACTTAAATATGTTTTGGTCAGCAGCTAAAATAATAAAAATTGTGAATGTGTGATGTTAATTTAAAAATCCACTCTGCCAGGTATGAAATGCTAGTTACTCGCAAAATAAATGTGTCCTGATTATGTTTTTTGGCATATGTGTGTGTGAAACCAGGAAGAAGATGAAGTTCCAGATGATGAAACTCTCAATCAAATGATTGCTCGTAATGAGGACGAATTTGAGCTTTTCATGGTAAGACTGAAATTGCTCAAAATTTGCTACTTTTACAGATAGTCCCTTGCATGGTGATTCACAGTAATTGTCGTCTCTTTGAAAAGAAAGCCACGTGTTTTTGTGAATTTGTGCATTTTGAATCCATTTAGAAGTAGAACAGGAAACGTACCAGTTACTTTCAAACTTAAGTAATCCATTAATGGCACTTTTAGCGCATGGATTTAGACCGCCGTCGAGAGGATGCACGTAACCCTAAGCGTAAACCTCGGCTAATGGAAGAAGATGAGCTGCCATCATGGATCCTGAAGGATGATGCTGAGGTGGAGCGGCTTACCTGCGAGGAGGAGGAGGAAAAGATTTTCGGCCGTGGTTCCCGTCACCGCAGAGATGTCGACTACAGCGACGCATTGACGGAAAAGCAGTGGCTGAGGGTATGCTGCTTGTGTTATATTTAGTTCATTATAGTCCATGACAAAATTGTAGAATGACACATAGCATAAACATAATCCCATCCATATGTTGAGAGCTCTTGTTACCATAGCAACAGGTAGTCTTTCTCTCTTTCTAATGGTCTCTTTTTATGCTGCATGAAGGTGCACAGTGATGACTCCTCATTATGAGTATTTCCAAGTTGCCATGTTCAAGTTGTCAAGTTACTTCACTTAAGGTTCAGTGCTGATTAGTGTTGTTTTCGTATTCTTTATATACAATAATAGTGTTCATTAATATTTTGAATTTAAATTCAGTTTTTTATATTTTAAAATGTATTTTTATATTTAGCTTGGATTTTATTTCAGTTTTAGTTTCGTCAAAATTTTAAGTTCTTCTTCTAATGTTTATGTTGTATTTATTTCCACTTTATTTCAAGTACAGATAAATCTTTATTAGTTTTAGTTAACAGTAACCACACTTGACCGCAAGAACTGAAATGAAGCCATAATTCATGAAGTGTAGACAATGATCATAAAATTGTAGAGCTATTAGCGTCTGTCTTATTAAAGTGAGTGTCATAAGCTGGGCTATGCAACATTCACATTGGCATCATGTTCAGAAAGCTCAGCAGATTTCTGCAGAATTGGGACAGCCATCATTTATAAAATGTACAAAGCCCCTGTTCATTGCATATGCATTTATAAGATATTTTGGTTAATTTGATAACAGCTGTCAGCTACCAATAAGAGTGTAGTGATCTTCTGTCTGGTCCAAGAACTGGTAAATTAAACAGGGTTCATACAGATACTGTCAAATAAAATTCCAGGACTTTCAAGGCTACTTTTTTGGTTTTCAAGGACTAAAATCAGATCTCACTTATCAATCAATATTGTTATTATCTTTCAAATTCTAATAAATAAACTAATAAAACAAAATGGTACAAATAAAGTGCAGCACATGCAAAGAATGCAATGACTGTGGCAACTTTAACATTTGAAAGGATACTATGGAAAAGTTATCGCTTTCCTTATTCAAACTGATTGTTTTTTTCATGAATATATGATTGACCTAAAGAATAAAGCTATAACGATGAGGCAATAATAATTGGCCTCAAATAAAGTATCAAAACCAAGTAAATGGTTTTATTGAACAACACTGTTAAATACATAATGTAAATGCCTATATTATAACAAATACCTGCAGAGGGCGCCAAAAATTTTAATATTTGGCCACATGCAAAATCAGAAACGTTTATTTTGAAATCGCGATGTACAATACATTGCATATTTAGAAATATGTTGATATATTTCTAAATATGAAATATATTGGAGAGATATAAATAAAAAAAATTTTTTGCAACAAACAGTTATATTATGCCTGATAAACATGATTTAAGTCCTGATGTCCTCTACAGTGGACATGTATGAAATCAATGCCCTGGTCTGTAACAGAAAGTCATTTTTTGATTTGACACCCTATAACGTTTTGACATAACGTCTGAGATGTTGGTTTATGAAATACAATTTGAAAAGTAGTCAGATTTAAATTATAATTACACAGATTTGAAAATTCCGTTGGCTAATTACAGGGCCTAACGTTAACCCAACTGATGGAAATAAATAATAACTGAACAGTTTTGTTGCAAAGCACAATATTATGGTGAAATTAGATCTCGTGTTTGTTGAGTTAAAACGGAATTATTGTTGTATAAGCATAGCAAGCATCATAGCAAAAATGCTAACAAACTTAAGAGTTATACCCACCAATTAACATTAGCCCTTCATTCATGACATAGATACCGTAATAATCATACAGAGAGATAGTTGCATACCTTTATCTTTTGCTCGTTTCTCCTCTTCTTCTTTTCTTTTTTTTCTAAATTGGGCACGGATCCCCCGTTCCCCCCCTTGTCCGTTCCATTTGGGAGAGACCCAGAGGTGAACTGTCCCCCGCGCCGCTCCCCTTTCCCCTTTCCCCTTCTCACACAGCTTCTGTGCATGGCACCTTCTCAGCAAGCAGGGGCGCCAATTTGCCAATTCCCCACACAGTGAAATGATAGATAATAGAAAACCGCTTCGCAGCGGCGGTGCAGAGGATTATTATTATTTTTTTTAACTGCTTGTGCCGCCCCCCATGTATCATGAAAAAAGGCTGCCCGGTTCGCCCGTGCCAAAAACTGCTACTGAGCAACCCAAACTCACCGCATATGCAGAGGAAGAGTTTAGCCCCTTTTACACATACAGTCTTTACTGGTAAATTACCATTAAGAGATCATGTGTGAACAGGACCTTTTCAAAAATACAGGTAAATGCATTCTGACAGTCATATCGTTCTTATGGAGATGACATGATTACTCTGAGCTGTTTACAAAGCTCTGCTGCTTTTTTAATAGCTTTTCTATGTAAATATGACGCTAGATGGAAATCTTTGACCATTGCGCCTCGCAGCTTCGCGCTCGAGACCCAGGCTTCTTTTCCATTCATCAGCTGTGACTCTGCAATTGGATACTATTATGCGCATCTCGTGTTTATACGAGCAAAAACTTCTGATTGGCTAGTAATGTTAGTTTGGTTGAGAGTGAGAGCTGTGTTCCTCTCATACATTGGTAGGCGAACTCATGAACTCGAACGTGATATCAACAAGGGTTTTTAAATGTAGGATGACTATCTTTTTTTTCCAGCAGCCAAACACCGCTCGCCGGTGATCCGGCACGGTGCCGGAGAACTTTAAGCCCTGCAATCAGTAAATATGGGGATTGTTAGGAGGCCATGATGGTCAGAGGCCAATGGGCAAATTTGGCCAGGATGCAGAGGTCACACCTCTACTCTTTTCGAAAGACATCCTGGGATTTTTAATGACCACAGAGGGTCAGGACCTCGGTTTATCGTCTCATCTGAAGGACAGTGCTTGTTGACAGTATAGTGTCCCCATCACTATACTGGGGCGCTAGGATCCACACAGACCACAGGGTGAGCACCCCCTGCTAGCACCTCTTCCAGCAGCAACCTAGTTTTGTTAAATGTTAATTTTGTATTTACCATGATAACAATTCAATAGAATCATTGTAAGTTACTAATTATAATGCTTATATTTCCTCAGTTATTCAAAAAGCAGCTACAGAAAGCGAGCAAACAATATTTACATTACCAAAGAACATCATCTCTGACTCAGTCTAGTGCGAGTTTATGCACTTTAAAAAACACTCCCGTTATAATCAGTGAAGCTGTCTACATTGTATGTTGAATAAATCTCTTATACTTACATTGCACGTACATCTGAACTTTGTTGTTTATGATGAGAGAATTCGCGAGTCAGAATTCAGTTAGTGCATGCTCAACAACAAAACTCTGCTGTTTCAGCGATAACTCATCTGAACGCCTTTGATTGGCTATTGCATTCATAAGCTCAACATAATTGTGTGTGATTGGTTATAATGCCCAACACTGTAAAACATGAAACAAATAAGCCCTTACATTAATTAGATAGTATTACAATCTCTTATACTTACATTGCACGTACATCTGAACTTTGTTGTTTATGATGAGAGAATTCGCGAGTCAGAATTCAGTTAGTGCATGCTGAACAACAAAACTCTGCTGTTTCAGCGATAACTCATCTGAACGCCTCTGATTGGCTATTGCATTCATAAGCTCAACATAATTGTGTGTGATTGGTTATAATGCCCAACACTGTAAAACATGAAACAAATAAGCCCTTACATTAATTAGATAGTATTACTAGCCTAATAATAATAATAATCGTCTTGCTATCATCAGTGGCATCAGCCACAGGCGATATCTCTGACTATCGTCGATATATGATATATCGTCTATTGGCACAACTCTACTGTGTGATAGTCTCCACACACAAAAATGGTTTCTTTTGTAACTTATGCTTGAAATCATTCTCCAAGATTGCTTTTACACAGGAAATTAGGACGAAGCATCTCCCCATCGCACAGCTCAGTGGCTCAACAAATTGATTTTGACGCTTGACTGCACAGAGTTTAGCAAACAGTCAACTGTGTTGGGAAAATGAAGTCTGTTGCGAGGTGTGAGAGAATACGTATCAGTCTAGGGCAAATAAATACTCTGGCCATTTTCCGTCTGCCTTCAACCTAAAATCTGTTCTTGCCTTGTGCGATATAACATCTAAATGGTGTATATGTATGTACATTATGTGTGTTTCAAAAGAAAGGTCAGTCACCCATAGCGCTTCTGTTGCTGAAAAGGGGTCATTCACACGGACAGCCAAGTCATTCGTTTTCAGAGTGAAATGGCCACTTGAGGCGACAGTAAGATGACGTGGCTGTCTCCAGTGATTCAGCAAAGTTGAGAAAAGATAACTTTATGGTAAAAAGCACTCTGACACAACTACTAATGGGAATAAAGTAATTGGAACTTGTGTAATGCATCTCCTGTGAGATACTGTAGCCAAGTGTGGGCATGTCAAAGGAGAAGTACATGTTACTTTTAGCGATTTCACTTGTTTTGTTCTTGCCCACATACAGGGATCAAATAAATTTTTGGCCTAATGGTTAAAGAGTCGGACTTGTAACCCCAAGGTCGTGGGTTCAAGTCTCGGAACAGGCAGGGATTGTAGGTGGGGGGAGTGAATGACCAGAGTACTCTCTGCCTCTCTTAATACCATGATTGAGGTGAGACCCTTGAACAAGGCATCGGACCCCCAACAGATCCCCGGGCGCCGCAGCAAAAACAGCTGCCCACTGCTCCAGGTGTGTGTGTTTGTTCATCACAAAAAAATGTGCTGATGTTTTGCGGAGGCGGTGCTTATTCATACTATTATATCATAGAGTAGAACATTCCTAAATCTGTCATTTTGGCAGACTGCCTTCAATATAAGCTGTTTTTAGAATAACGAGAAAGTTTTGAGTCCTGAAACTTACAGGATGTTTTTATAGAACAGTGACCTATTACAGTATATGTTAAAAGATCAAGGGGATTTTGATATCTCAGTTCATGACCCCTTTAAGTAATGGCTGCTGAAAATTAAACATTTATAAATTACAATTTTAAATATAGAAGTTAATTAAAATTTTAATGAGATTTCACAATAATGCAGTTTTACTGTATTTTTGTTCCAGTAAATGTATGTGTATTTCTCTGTCTTGTTTCAACAACCTACAGATTATACCCACACAGTCTATGATTTTGAAGTCTGCACCCCCAGTATCACATGATGTCAAGAGCACACTTCTTTCACAGGTGCTGCTGAGCTCTTTTTTCCGTCAGATTAGCTCAGTACCCACAGGTGCAACCTCACCATGACAACGGTTGAGGTGATGGAGGAGGGGGTTATCCATTATTGGCTCAGCGTTACTAAAACACAGCCAGAGGCGTCTCTGCAGACAGCCAGTATTTTAACCCAGGATCTCAGCCATGGGATGCATCATTTGAGTGCTCCGGACACAGCATTTAAAAGGATGATGTGTACCCCCTGCGCTGACCTGCTGGATAATGCACAAAATTTATGTGGTGCTAAAAAGCATGCATAATTTTTTCTTTGTGATTACATAAATGTAAAAGTGAACCGTGTAAATTTATGTACACTACTGCTCAAAAGTTGGGGGTCAAAAGAAGCCTCTTATGCTCATCAAGGCTGTATTTATTGGACCAAAAATACAATAAAAACAGTAGTATTGTAAAATATTATTACAATTTAAAAGTTTTCTATTTTAATGTATCATAAAATAGAATTTATTCCTGCAGAGCAAAGCTGAATTTTCAGCAGTCCAGTCTTCAGTGTCACTTCAGTGATTCTTCAGAAATCATTGTAATATGTTGATTTCATGCTCAAGAAACATTTATTATTATTATCAATGTTGAAAACAGTATGTGGAAATTGTGATATATTTTTTTCATGTTTCTTAAATGAATGGAATGTTCAAAAGAACAGCATTTACATGAAATAGAAATATTTTGTAACATAAATGTCTTTACTGTCACTTTACTGTCGGATAAATGCATGCTTGTTAAATTCCCAAAAATAAACAAATAACTTTATAGACCCCAAAGTTTTGAATGTTATGGTACATTGGATTATATTTCAGATGTGAAGTAAACGTTATATAACTAAGTGGACAAAGTAATTTTGTGTCTCTTAAAACAGGACATTAGCATTTGTATTTGCTTGCATATAAATGTCTTTACTGTCACTTTACTGTCGGATAAATGCATGCTTGTTAAATTCCCAAAAATAAACAAATAACTTTATAGACCCCAAAGTTTTGAATGTTATGGTACATTGGATTATATTTCAGATGTGAAGTAAACGTTATATAACTAAGTGGACAAAGTCATTTTGTGTCTCTTAAAACAGGACATTAGCATTTGTATTTGCTTGCAATGGCAAGTACAAACTCAAAACTGATTGTTTTAGTTATTTATTTAATTTGGGAATTTATCCACAACATGCACTGTTAGGTTGGATATAGGCCTGGACCCTCTTTCATAACATCTTGGTAGAGAGTCAAAATCAAAATTGCACCACAGAAACTCACATTAATTTGTTTTTATGTGCGAGTTTTGGTTTCAAAAGCGGATACTCTTTAGGGTCTGTTTATTTGTTCATTGTTCATTTCTGGCTTTGTGCATAAATGAGGGCTCTGGCTCAGCTGCATAACAGGTGTGTTTATTTACTTTGCTCTGAGGATCAAGCCTTCTGTATTATGATAACCGACCTTTGAGTTTTACAGCAAATCTTACAGAAGCCCAAAAAACAAAGACAGATATACATTTCTTGCTTTTCAAAACTTCTCTGGAAGTTGATGGTTTTACTCTGGAGTCTCGCTCATTCAGTAGTGGAATTACAAATGTTTTTGGGCATATTCTGAGTTTTAAAATCTTACTGTGCAGACAGCAGGGGCAGGCATTAGGCCAAACTCAACAGCACAAATGCATTGAACCATACAGTATATTCACTGAAGGCGAATGACTCATTCTTTGTAAATAATCTGACTGGAAGATGAGAGAATACCTCTATATCCATCTGTGTAACAAAAGGAAGGGCGGGATGGAAAAGAGATGCCAGACAGATGGATTTAATTAAGAGCAGTTCTGCACAAATTCTGATCTCAATCATGTCAGATTGTGAGACTGATGAAAGTCCAAACAGCTCCATAATCAGGGCCCGTAGTCAGTAGTTTCTTTCACTTCTAAATGTAGTTTATGGTAATGAGCATGGCTTTTATGGCTGCCTATAGGGAGGTGAAGTCCTCAAATCAAATATCCACTGTCATACAGAGAAGCCTAATCAGTGAAATTTGCATTTGTAGAATCATAGCTATGGCATTTTTCTGTTTGGCATCTATTTGATTTAGCTTGTGATTTAGATGAAGAGGCTTCAGTCCCAAATGCTGTATGTGCCTGGACAAATTTTCTTTGGTGGATCAAATATATATTGAAATCATCACGCACATCTAAATACAAATTGCCAGTAGACCGTAAATATAATCTAGTGATCAACAGTTGTATCTTGTTTACTTTTCTTATCATTTCTCTTCACTTATCAATTTCTCTTCAAAAATGTATCTTCACATCATTAACTAGCCAACGTGGCCTTAACTGTTGAACTTGACCTCTGGCAGGCTATAGAGGATGGCAACCTGGAGGAAATCGAGGAGGAAATACGGCTGAAGAGGCGCAAGCGTAGGAGACACGTGGACAAAGACATGAGGCGTGAGGACGCAGACAAAGCCAAGAAGAGAAGAGGACGTCCTCCAGCAGAGAAGCTCTCCCCAAATCCACCCAAACTCACAAAACAGATGAATGCCATCATTGATACAGTCATCAATTACAGAGATGCGTAAGTGCTGTTAAACTTCCACCAATGGCTCATAGTGCCTACCCATTCCTCAGCTCACTGTGGTGTTGCAGGTGACTCTTTGAGCTGGCCGCTCATGTGTAGTTAAGTGACCTGGAATATCTGGAATGTAATTATGTACCGTTGAACTCTCAGTGGCTTTGTGCTGAACATACTGTTTTCAACTGTTCCAGGAATTCACAATGTGGTGATAGGCAAATAGGATGTTGACAGGCACTGTTACTGTAGTCCAGATATTCCATGTGGAATGACTCCTCACTGGGGTAACAACCAGAAGTAATATGAGGTGAAGTAATGTGAGGGCAGTCATGTAGGATGTAGGCATTGTAAAATCAAATTGCAGCAGGCTAAAAAAATCCTGCATGCTGTTTTACATAGATAGTGGTCCTTTCAGTTGATTTGTTCACTGAACATAACTGTTAACGATTGAAAATTAAGATATTCAAATTTTTCAAGAATGTCCATAAACGATTGTCATTTCAAATTAACAATCAATTAATCGTTAACATTAAAAATGCTAAATGTGCTTTCAGAATTTAAAAGCACATTCACAGAGCTATTTATAATCTACAAATTTAAGCAAATATACTTGAAAAAGTTATGGTATTTTTCACTATGAATGCAATATTTTCCAATTTTTTAAGGTCGGTGAGATTGTTTAAAATGTTTTTGAAAGATGTTTCTTGTGCTCACCAAGGTTGAATTTATTTAATGAAAAATGCAGTAAAGACAGTAATATTGTGAAATATGTATTACAGTTTATAATAACTGTTTTCTATTTTAAAGGGGTCAATTGATGCGCTTAAAATTTTTCCTTTCTCTTTGGAGTGTTACAAGCTCTTGGTGCATAAAGAAGATCTGTAAAGTTGCAAAGACTAAAGTCTCAAATTCAAAGAGATATTCTTTATAAAAGTTAAGAGTCAGCCACGCCTACCTAAAACGGCTCATTCTAACACGCCCCCACATATCTACATCACTATCTGGGATGTTGGGAAATGGACTGTCATGCCCCTCTGAGAATTTCAAATCAGCTTCAGACTGACACTCAAATTGTGGTGCTGCTGAGAAAGTCTCGTCACACTCGCCATGGTTTGATTTCGGCAGAGTGGAGGATTTGGAATTACACGGGCGCCTCTTGTCAGGAAAAAAACCCATAGCTTGATGTGTCACCAAATTAGGCTGCAATCCCACAAATTGAAGGTAATTCATCAGATTGATATGCTGGCTGTCTCTTTTGGTGGTCCCCATGACAACCTTCCAGTTAACAGCACACATCAGTTGTGGAATAATCATTTTGCTGTCTGAACATGGCAGTAATTTTACATGATAGATAAATCTCTCTAATCTAGCCCATATTTAAACCAAGACATCTAGAGATGACAGTTGAGTAGTATTTAAGCGTCTCTGAAACAGACGTTCTTGGCAGTTATTTTAAATTTATGATGCTATGGAACTTGAGTCACATAAAGTGAAAACTAAGCATTTGTCCTCAAATGACTAGAAACCCAGTCTCAGTGACACACTCTCATGACTAATCCCAAACAGGAGAGCAGAAAATGCTTTCAGCTGGCATTTTTAACTTGAAGCGTGTAATTTCTGTCACTAGCGCAGCACTGACTGTTATCAAACAGGTTTTATGAACGGAGGGTTAAGGCCATTGGTCGGCAGATAATGTTGCCCTCACTGTAAAAAATGACCTTGAATTTAACAGTAAAAAACTGTAAAAATGCTACAGTAAAAACCTGTTAAATGATTAACGGTAAATTCCCCTACTATATACGGTGAAAAACTGTATTGGACATTACATGTATTGGACATTAATTGTACGGTAGTATACCGTTTTTGGAAGTGAAAAAGACTGCATAATATACAGTGAACAACCGTAAATTGACATTCCCAGAATTCCCTGCGTTACATTTCAAATTTGATGTTTTTTTTGTTGAAATAACTATGTTTCTTCTTAGTTTTTTCTTATCAGTTTTGTATATTAGGGTTTATGCATTTAACAATAAATTTAGGCATATATTAGGCATTTAACAATAAATTAATGTTTATTGCATTATTTCAGTTTCATGTTACCATGGTGGTGTTTGGTGTTTGTGTGAATGACACTGTGCACCTTCTATATATGTTAGTATTTAGAAAGCTGCTTGTGATGGGCTTTGGCTCATCATGTGACTTTCTTATCACCACCTGCATTTGGTGGTTATCAGTGTATTACAAAGGTACAAAACAGATTTCAGTACTTCAATAGGTTGGTATATTAACATTATATCAGTTAATGAAATTACGGTATTTAACTGTAAATTTAAGTTAAAACCTAAAATGTTGCTACCATTTTTTTAACGGTAAAATTCCAACAACCACAGCTGTCGTTTTTTTACCGTAAATTTTACGGAATTTTTTTTACAGTGCTGATAATATTGAAGGTCGGCTGCTTATCTCCTGTGCAGAGCAATTGGGATCTATTTTTTATTATATATTTTCAACTATTCCTTACTCAACAGAAGGTGCCGAGATTATGGAAATCCTCTACAGTCATCCCAGTGGCTAAAAATAATCATCCAGTAGAACTAAATGATTTTAGGCCAGTTGCGCTTACCTCTTTAGAAATGAAGAGTTTTGAGAGACTGTTGAAAAAAAAGAGCTCCTTACAATGGTAGAAGATTCTCTCGATCCTCTTCAGTTTGCTTATAGGACCAGGCGTGGGGTAGAGGATGCTACGGCCATCTTGTTGAATTTGGTACTTAAGCATTTAGAGGGAACTAAGACTAATGCTAGAATTTTATTTGTTGATTTCTCATCTGCTTTTAATACGATTCAACCTCACATTTTAGTAGAGAAACTTTTGAGCTTTGGTTTTGATTTTTGTATCAGTGGGTGGATCCTTGACTTTCTAACTGATCGAATTCAGAGAGTAAGGGTAAATGGGTGTTTGTCAGAGGTACTATCTTCATCCACAGGGTCCCCTCAGGGATGTGTGCTTTCTCCACTCGTGTATATTTTATACACTGACGATTGCAGGAGTAGGCATGAGAATAGATTTATTGTAAAATATGCAGATGATTCAGCTATTGTCAGCCTCCTCCATGCGGATGAAAATGACCATGGCCTCGTGGTAGATGATTTTGTTCAGTGGTGTGATAATGCATTCCTGCAAATAAATGTGTTAAAAACTAAAGACATGCATATTGATTTTAGGCGTAATCAAAGTGATATAAAGAGAACAACTATTAAAGATCAGGAGGTGGAGGTTGTGGAATCATATAAGAATTTGGGATGTGTGATTGATAACAAGCTGAATTTTAATGTCAATGTGGAGAAGATTTGTAAAAGGGGCCAGCAGCGTCTGTATTGTCTACGGAGACTGTCCAAATTTAATGTTGATAGATTCCTGATGACTCTGTTTTAAAAATCTTATATTGAGTCTGTTTTAACATTTGCTATGTTATGCTGGTATGGCAGTCTTAGTGTCAAGGCAAAGACGGCATTGGTGAAAATAGATAACACTAGCAGTAAGATTTTAGGCGTTTAGCAGAGTCATCCTACCGACCTATATAATCGCCAGGTAGTTAGAAAAGCCCAATCTATCTTAACGGTTACTTGCCATCCTCTCTACTCTGAGTTTCCGTTTTTACCCTCAGGATCTCGGTTAAGATTTCCTTCTGTTAGGAGTAACAGGTACAAACATTCATTTATTCCTACTTCTATCTCTTTGCTAAATTCGGGCAGGTGGGGAGTATGTGGAAGCAGGTAGTTGTTTGGTCTTGTTTTTTTTTTTTTATGATGTAATTTTAAATGTAATTTTTTATGTACTGTAAATTGTCTTTTTTGTATGCTGGTCTTGCTGTAAAACCAATTGCCCTTAGGGGACATAAAGAAAGAAAGAAAGAAAGATAGTATTACCCCTCATACTGATGAGTTTGTTTCTTCATTGGTACAGATTTGGAGAAATTTAGCATTACATCACGTGTTTACCATTCCTCTGCAGTGAATGGGTGCCGTCAAAATAAGAGTCTAAACAGCTGATAAATGCACAATTCCAGCTACATGTTTGAAATAAATGTCATTAAGACATTTTTAACTTTTTGGTTTCAAGATCAAGCACTGTTTACAAGCAAAAACAGTCCACAGTTCTACACAAATATGTTGGTGGATTTTGATGTGAGAGGACAACATCTTTTTTACTGGAAGGCAGCATTATTATGGATTATGGACTTGTATTTTGGCCAGAAGTGATGGTTTTAATTTGAAGTTAAAACACCTTAATGATGGATTTGTTGATATTAATTGATGGGCTGGATTCGCATGGATTATTATTATGATGTTTTTATCATCTGTTTGAAATCTTATTCAGCACATATTCACAGAGGATCCATTGGTGAGCAAGTGATGTACAGGCAATTAAAATGTCTCCTAATCTGTTTTGATGAAGAAACAAACTCGTCTACATCTTGGATGGCCTGAGGAGGAGTCATTTCAATTTGGGGTGAAATATTTCTTTAAGCCACTGGTTAAGCACCATAGAGTCAGTACTAATATTGGTTATTGGCTAATATTAGTTATATATCTTAATTTATCTGTGACCAAATTGTATATTTCATTGTGCATGCACATTTCCTCTATTTTACATTTAGATCACCTTTGGCGTCATGTAATGCTCACTTAAGTTAATCTTTAAAAAACTCTTAAGAATTCAGTAAAACTGTTAAAATAATCTTTAACAAATGATTATCCATTTTTCAAAATGTACATTATAATATTATGATTATTTGGATAAAATAGTATACATTTAAAATTGGATAGCATAAAAAATCAGATAACGTGTTTCAGATGTTAATATTGGTACATCCCAATATACAGATGGCTTGCTTGTAGTTCCCTTTGTAGTTCTCTTTGCATATTAAGTCAGGATAGGAGAAAATATTTTAATATTTAAAAAAAAATTTAACTAGTCTTATAAGCACATTCAGTAGAATTTCTCCAATTAATTTAGCAACTGACAAACATTATGAATGCCTTCATAATAATGACATAGTTGGCATGCTGAGCTGCCAATTCAGAAATCTTATACTAAGCTTCTAGGAGTTGAAAGCTGTTTAGCATTGTGCTGCAGTCTGCACCCCCAGACTAACACTAAACATGCATCTGCAGCAGAAACTATAAATTGAGGTGTGTATGAAGGTCGACACACCATAATTGCACCAATTTGAGCCCTGATTTAATCACTGGATGTGTAATGAATCACCTGTGCTGTGAATATTTAGAGGAACTGTTACAGACAGATATGGGCAGATGTCAGGGTCCAATGAGACAGAAAAAAAACCACTCCTTGTCGGCAGTATGTCTCGAGAAATATTGCTTCTGGAGACCTTTATACCATTTCCTGTTGTCCTGGATTTAGACTTGTGTCATCTCCTGTTGGCTTGGGGTGAGCTTGTCAGTAGAGCACGAGTATGATGGTAATGCAAACCAATCTGACATTATTCCACAAAGTTGGAAATCCGCCTAGGCTGATCGCATAGTTTATCTCTCAATGTGCAGTCAGAGGAAATCAGGATAACCCTCAATCTCTGCTTCTGATCACAGATTAGGCCGTCAGCTCAGCGAGGTCTTTGTGCAGCTGCCCTCCAGGAAAGAGCTTCCTGAATACTATGAACTGATAAGGAAGCCAGTGGACTTCAAGAAGATCAAGGTAAGTGAGTTACAGTACGTCTTTTATTTCAGTGTGACCTTTACATCACATGTTCTGCTGTGACGCATTACCGTACAATCCGGACTGGCACACTCATTACTCCAACTGGACGATAACGGTATTACCTTACAACAGAGAATTGTTTTTTGATGCAAGGCCAGATAAACTGATCTTTTCACACTTCTAATGGGCCGTTTTACTCCCTTTATGTGTTTTTCGTATAAATTTGATGATGTCGGTGGCTCTTATTTTCTGTTGCAACTCTAATTGGCAATTTCCTCAGTTGTTAAACTTGAACCCTACAGGTGAAGAATGTTTTGTTGTTACAAGTGTTCTTGTTCGTCCAGGAGCGTGTGCGTAACCACAAGCACAGGAATGTGAGTGATCTGGAGAAAGACGTCATGCTTCTTTGTCACAACGCTCAGACTTATAATCTAGAGGGCTCTCAGGTGAGTGAATAAATGGATTGAACAACCTCCATTACTGTTTTAAGTATGAATTGCCTCGCAGCACTACACCATCATTTTGTTGTGATTATATGTTGCATGAATTCCATGAAGTGCCTGTCATACATGCAAATACTAAGCATGTCATTATTGAACAAAGACCTGAATAGTCACTGATGTGTTTGAAGAATAGCTATCATGCTTTATAAAATTTGGATTTTGGGTTTGTCTGAAGAACTTTATTACTGCCTGTTCCCAGATAATGTAATTATTTATTAATGTGAAGCTTTATAAGAACTGCACATTATATTTCAGATCAATTTATGCAGATCTCTTTACACGGTACTTTCATTGGGGGTTTTGCATTGTGTATTTTGAGAGGATTACAGGATTACTGACCGGATTTTGTCTGTGTCTGAAATCAATATTTCATCCTTTCTGAAATGAGCCCAATCTGGAGATGCAGTCCAGACCACTGCAAAAATATTATAAACTTTTTATCCTGTCGCTTTAAACAGTTCTTAGCATCACTTTTTGTTTGAAAGGAGTGCTGCAGATAGGTTATGCTTTTGTTATTATTTTTGCTTCACCTTTCCAGGTTTTAAAAATGTTCAGAAATGTATTGACATGCAGATTACAGACTTATTTCTTAATTTGTTTCTGTATGTTTTGTTTGTTCAGGTTATTGCTTTTAAATCAGCCTTTGTTTTTTGTAGATCTATGAGGACTCCATTGTTCTCCAGTCAGTATTCAAAAGTGCAAGGCAAAAGATTGCTAGGGAGGAGAGCGACGATGACAGCAATGATGATGACGATGATGAGGAGGAGGAATCAGAGGAAGAGTGTAAGATTTTTCATTAACAAAGGAGCAATTTACTGATACTAATGAAACTAAAGTTCTAGATTCCCCTTAAATTGCTTAAGAAGTGCAGTTTTCTTTTCTTTGTTAAAGTAGGATGTTTGGGCGGGACAAATTAGGATGTTTGGGCCTAAACACTTTTTTTCAAATAGGCATAAAGCCGCATTATCTCTGAAGTCAATCATTTCCATTCAAGAGTAGTACAAGAGCTGCATGGAGTTTTAATCAGAATTTTCCAAACCTATTTGAGCTTCATGTGTGTTGAAATATTTGAACTGCATACATGACCACTAGACCAAATGTGATGAATTGTAATAAAAACTATACTATATACTATACTATATTCTAGGGGTGACCCGAATAGTCGAAGATTCGATGCTTCGATAGGAGGAGCCTGATTCGACTACCAATCTCACAGTCGAATATTCGCGGGGTGTTATGATCATGCCATTTTGGCTATATGGGGGTGCTCAAATGTTTTCACATAGAACTGCTGGTTTTCTCCCAATAAGTTAATATACGGCCTATTCTAATAATGCTGTAAGAATCTGAAAAGAAAGAAGCTTCAAATAAATATTTTAACGTGCGTGAATAAATCCAACCACCCCTATAGATTTAAGTTTCACTTTCCATAATCCCCTGACCGACTTAGAAGCATCTTGGTGGCAGGAATTTAAATCTTTAACAAGACTCAAACTGACACAGACAGAGTGAAAGACTGGATTTTTTCGATCAGGTAGGGTACAAGTGATTTCAAAACATTTCAGCTGGTTTATATATATATATCATGTATAATTTATCTCGTATAAGATGCATTTGGTTGAGTTGCGCTGCAGTAAAGCGCTTCATTGTAGTACTACGGTGATTATCTCTTCAGCGCGCAGCGCGAGCAGGACGAACAACAATGCAGAATATTAATAACTATGACTGGGACTGTCATATACATAACATTATAATGAGAACACTATTATAATAAAACGCTGTGAATTTTTAGAGTTTAGTTGCCGTGTTTCTGCACGTTGTTGCGTTAAGAACGCATCCACAGAAGGAGTTTATTCAGAGCCACGCAGACACGTTCATGTGCATTCAGGGCATTTTGTGCAAATAGCCTATAAGTCGTAATATTAACGTTATGTTGTATAAATAACGAAGCGTATTCTATATGAGATAAATGATTAGTTAAATCCCATTGATTAAAAACCTGCTGCTTCATTCTACTGGTCATCTTCAGCGCACGCAGCTCAAAACAGAAATGCAGAGCATTAATAACTACTGTCATATAACGTTATAATGAGAGCACTATTGTAAACAATGTTGTGATTTCTTAGGGTTTCGCTGACGTTTAATGTTAACTATCTTTTAATCAAAACATAAAACATTATTTACCCCTTTTGTATCTGCGAGGCGTCCGTTACACATTTTCTCTGTGTTAACGTAATTATGGCTGTCGAATGTCTGACTTGACTCTTGGTAATGTATTTTGCCCCGCCCCCAAAACATATGGTTCAACTATCAGTCGAATATCGGCAAGATTCGAAAATTCCGATTCGACTATGAAAATCCTTAGTCGGGGACATCCTACTGTACACTAAAACAATCTTTAATCTTTTTTAATCTTTAAACTTAATTTTTGTAAAATTAGTGAGTCAAAGCCGAGATGTCTGATTTTGTTGTCTTTATCAAATTAAATTTGCAAAAATGATTTTGCATGAATTCAAGTGTCTACTTTAATGTTTTAAATAACTTTTGTGAAAATAAAATGTCGAAATATGGGTGAAATAATATTCTATCATCACGAAATGTGACAATTGTATGCGAATGTCAGAAAATAGTACAAAGGCGGCTTAAGGCTTTAGTTACATCACATCTGTGATCTTGATTTCTACTTGCTAATCAATCGCAAGTGGTATTAGGGGAAGGGACATTTTCAGTTGAGAGCGTCTGACTGGATAAAAACCAGTGCAATGCAAGATGAGTCATTTGTATATTTGAGGGAAGATTAAATTTTTGTAATATATCTACTAAAAGTGAATTTTGTCATTTTTTTATCAAGTACACTGGCATATTCAGGATCTTATAGCTGATAAATTAAAAGTCACGAAACACTAAGGGCCAGATTTACTAAACATGGCAAATTAGCGTTAGAGCACAATTCCATAAAAGCGCCGGTGGGAGGGGGAAAATTCTGCGGGTGATTTACTGTCAATGCGCAAATTAACGAACACAGACAAAACATCTAATTTACATAATGACCAGCACAATCTACCAAGAGCAGTGCAAATTACCACCTGCTTTAAAGGGGTCATATGATGCGATTTCAAGTTTTCCTTTCTCTTTGGAGTGTTACAAGCTGATTGTGCATAGATAAGATTCCTGAAGTTGCAAAGTCTAAAGTCACAAACCCAAAGAGATATTCTTTATCAAAGTTAAGTGTGCGCGTGTGTGTGTGTGAAAGAGAGAGAGCGACATCGTCACATCACAGTAGAGTCAGCTGTCTTAACCGCAGCTTGTGTACTGCATCATTACTGTGTCTGTTCCCCTTTCGGGCTTGAACTGATGGTAAAACTAATGACATTACTGGCTTTACATTTATTTTGAAAGATGAAGCTCGCGATTATGGTAAGGGGCATTACATTTCCGACATGTGCTTGTGGTGTTCAGCCAATCATATGCACTGGGTCAGCTGGCAATCAGAGCAGACTGCACTTGTCGGAAGGAGGGACTATGTAGAAAACGAAGCGTTTGAGAGAGGCGGGGCATAGAGGACCTACAATAATGTACAATATTTGAAAAATAATGTGTTTTTTGAACATTAAAGCATGTCAGCATATTCTGATACACAAAATAATGATCTTAAAAAAAGCATCATATGACCCCTTTAAGACTGGCTTTTTTTGGTCAATAAATAAAGGCCCAAATACCAGTAATTTGACGAGCGCAAACATTAGTAAATCACGTTGCATGATTCATTTTAATACTCTCCTCCCATAAATTTTGTGTCTGAAAGAGAAACTCCTACAAATGCATATTAAATAAGGTCAGGCACAAAAATAACTGTGTCCACACCTTTTCAGTGCTAATTCTTCACTGCGCGTAAAATAAAATTAGTGTTAGTAAATCCTGACAGTACTATTTTAACGGCAAACGACGTTTTGCATTGGTGCAAGCTGTTAGTAAATCTGGCCCTAAGGATTTCATGAAGTCTTTAATGTTTAGTATTCAGTTTACATTTGATCAAGCAAACAAGTTAACAACAAAGTACTTTGAGAATAAGAAAGATGTGGGTGGCATTTGAAAAGATGGGCTTTTAATAGATGAGTGAAATTGAAAAAAAATATGGGTTCTCAAATTCTTATAGTGTTATCCAGTAAAAATGACCATTTCTATAAGCTAATTTGCATTTGCTTCTCTTCTTTGTTGTAGAGTTGTGTTGTTTTATATAAATGACATATATTTTTTTAATCCAAGGTAAGTCAGTGAAGGTGAAAATTAAGCTTAATAAACGGGACGAGAGATGTCAGGACAAAGGCAAGAAGAGACCAAGTCGTGGAAAGGCCAAGCCTGTGGTCAGTGACGATGACAGCGAGGAAGAACAGGAGGAGAACGTAAGTCCACCATTCCTCTCATCAATTACACCTGTCATTGATACAGTCTGTTTAGCCGGTTGACATTTAGCTTAATTAGACATCTTGTAATCAAAAACCTCAGGTGCATACATTGATATTTTGATTGAATATGCTTGAGGAGGATATTATCACAAAATAAAAAAACGGGCTTTGATTAAGCGCTTATGGGATGGCTAACCTGCAAAGAGGTTGAAAAATGTAGCCCACATACAGCCTCTAAAAACAATATAAAGAGATGCCTAGCCACATGCCCTTATCTTTAATCTTCTAAGAGGTGTTTGAGATGTTATGCAGTTCCACCGAGGGAATCGCTTATCGAAAAAAGGATTTACTGTGCCCTGAAACTTAGCTTTAATTCCTCTCTCTTTATCCCACCCGCTGCAGTTCAAGAGGAAAATGTAAGTCTGTTTCTCTCGCTTTCACATGCGCTTTCTTTGTGTTGTGTGATTGCTTCATGTCTGAACATCAATCCTCATAAAAAGTCAGTGTGAATAAGTCAGAACCGTGTGACCAAGGCCTATGAATCAGTGTTAGATTGTCTCATTATCCAGAAGTAAGGAGGCGCATTCACAGTAAGCAGCTCAGTCCACGAATAATGAGCCTCTGCGGAGCAGCGTTCAGTCAGGTGTGGCGTGGGTCGCTGGAGCTCTGCCGTGGGGCGATCTGTGGTCCGCATGTGCGTGTAATGTTGTCATGTGTTTGTTTTCAGGAGCTGTCAGAGGGGAGCCACAGCGATGATGAGTGAGGAGGAGATGAGCTGATCATAAGCATTCCCTTCACACGTTTATTTGCTTCTTTTATCGTCTTTCGTCACCCAGCTCAATTATTCTGTGCTTGAGAAAAGATTGATTATTTGTTTTGTTTTATTGTACGTTTAAACACTTTCATTCTGTTTTGGATGCAGCTGACTAAGGAGTAATCTACAGTGAGGAAGCATCTTTTTTGCACCTTTAATAGCTTACAGTTATTCTGAAATTTCCCTACATGTAGTGAGGTATTTTAGAGATGATTTCTATATGCTTGAACATAATCTACATTTATGCAATGTTTAAAAAACAATCAAAATATGTTTGATTTGCATCAAAGAACGTCATTTATAAGCTATTCAGACCTTTTTTAAAAGCTAACCTAACCCTTGGTTAAACCATTTGTTTCAAATTTACAAAGCATATCATAAAGTATTCAAGTGTTACTTCAAGTGAGGTCCTCATTACATGACTATTTTCATATATTACAGTAATGTCTATATTGTATTGCATGCAGCACAAAAGCCAGCAGAGATTATAAATGTGAGAGCGCTGATCAGCCCTGTACCGATTTAGTGGTATGTGAAATATGAATTTGACGTGCTTTGTATCATATCCATAGATGTCTTTCTTTCATTGGTTTTTATACTTCATAGTCTGACTTGCCTGCTTGTTCCAAGGACAAATGCAGATTTGTTGGTTGCAGTGTCATTTGCTTCACTTTCTTCTTCTTTTTAGTTTTTTTTAGTTTTTTATTTACAGTGGAGAAGAGCATCTCACAGTATTTCAATATTTCAACCGAGTATTGTATGTCAGACTATAAACCAGCTCAGATTGGCTACCTTTTTCATCTATGGATATTTTTCTATTTTCATTGAAAGAAAATAAAACAGTGTTATTAAGGAATGGGGTGTTTTTAAAATGACTCTTTGCTCTTATACCGTATTGGTAGAAATATGTATTACATTTAAAAAAAAATGTATGTTATTGCTTTTATATGTACTCATCAACAAACTTGCATTATTGTCAATGAGAAATCTTTTTGATATGTTCTCCTATGTGCCATCAGTCATTTCTGACATCTCTTTTATACGTGCTTGTGCTTGGTAACGCCTCTAAAGTGTCATAATCTTTATTCTCCTTGCACACTCTCTTCGTGGTTGTAGCTCATAGCCCCGAGTAAACATTGCCAATGATGAACCTTCGCTTGTTGGTCAGTTTCTCTTTTAATGTAATGTCATGCTGATTGTCCTCATGAAATAATTATGATGCACATTACATGTTAGCAATGCTCCTCTTCTAATAGCCATGTGAAATCAATCCATGTGTACCAATCATGAAGTGCTAGGAACATTTGCAATACCCCCGTTATGTTTTGGGTGTGTATGGCTTCATCTGCTTTATTAAAATAGAAGCTTAATATCCCTAATATTAGTTTGCGGTAATTACTTGTCAGGAACTGTTTACCTAAAGCCACTAAACTACAGTAATTACAGGAACAGTCCCCAAGCAAAAAGCTAAGATTAAGTACCTTGCTCAAGGGCACTTCATTTACCCACACATGCAAGCAAACCTTTAACATGTAAGTCAGGCATTTTCAAACTGTTGCCAAGGGGGAGCTGATCTGTTTAATATGTAATAATTACATGCTTAATTTTAAAATTTTCCTTTAAAATTTAGAATGTAGTCTTTATTTAACGATTTATATTTTTTTATACAGTAAAAATGAGTTTTATACACAACCATTCAAAATATTTGGGGTCATTACATTTTTCTCCCTACACATTACATTGATTAAAAGAGACAGTAAAGACATTTATAATGTTACAAAAGAAATTTCTATTTCAAATAAATGCCATTCTTTTGAAGCTATTCTAAGCTTTCTATTCAGGAAAAAAAATAAAGTGTTTTCCACATTGAGCATAAGATGAAATGTTTTTTTAGTTTAAATTCTGAAGGATCATGTGACACTGGAGTATTTTTTTTAACCATACTTTTAAATGGTAGCGTAGCTGCCTTTATGATACAGGAAGGGGGTCCCGTACAAAGAGCCCATCATTTTTTCAGGGTCCTTGACAGCCAAAAGTTTGACGAGATACTTGGCTGTAAGGTTGCCATTACTCCTATAGTTCAGCAAATTTATGTGTGATTTACAATATTGCACTGACTTGAAGAACTCACATCTGGTCAATTGTACTTTGTTCAGTCCACTTACCCACCAGAAATAACACAATCCCATCTTAAGTGTCCTACCTCATATGAGCACTGAGAGGCACTGCAGAGGTCCGAGCTAAAATTCGCTACAGCCGTGTGTTCGGTTCTACTCTGTCTGAAGTTAAGCCGCACAGTGCGCACATGCTTTACGTCTGCTCTTAACCATGACGCAGGATTTCCTGTTCTCAAGATTTAAAAATTGTATTAACATTGACATGTTAAGGATGAGGTCACTGAATTATTCTGTAGATCACTGTTTCTGCTATGTATCATCATGAGAGTAAAAATAGAAGATCATTTTTGAGATGCAATTTTTTTTCAAGGGATGCAAGTACTCCATTTCATGATGTAGGATGTGGAGAAAATGTCACAGCTTTCTGATAATTGCTTTTGTAAATCTACAACTAAGAGTGTTTTCACACTTGTAGTTCAGTTCTTTCTTTTGGTCCGGGCCAAAAAAGCAAATGATACATTTAGGGAGTGTTTACTCGTGGCAGGTTTGGTTGAGTTACAACAAACTTCGTTCGTTTGTGTAAATGTGAAAGCTGCCTTCTGAACCTGAATCTGAACTTTGATGCGAACCAAACAAGCAGACCGAGATGAGAACAATTTTTTAGGGGTTATCAGTCTGCATCCAAACTTAACTCTGGTGTGGATTGACTTAAAGGGATAGTTCGCCCAAAAATTTAAATTCTTCTTTGAGCACAAAAAGTATTCTCGTAGCTTCGCGAAATTGAAGTTGAACCACTGATGTTTTGTCAATGTCCTTACTACGTTTCTGGACAGGGGGGAACATTTCAGTTGTGTTGCAGTCTATGCAGGGTCAGAGAGCTCTCAGAATTCATCAAAAATATGTTGATTTGTGTTCCGGAGATGAACGAAGGTCTTACGGGTTTGGAACGACATGAGGGGGAGGAATTAATGATTGAAGAATTTTCATTTTTGGGTGAACTAACCCTTTAAATATCTAAACTCACCACAAACATTCTCTTCTTGACATAGGAGCTGGAATCGCTATCTCCTTGCAGCAGATCTTCATTTGTGTGTGCAACAAATGAATTCATTGCTGCTGTTTTGACACTCATGTCATATGTAGTGAGTGCATACATGTAAAAGACTCCTGTAGTCAATAACCTACAATAACTGTGCACTGGACCAGTAGATCATGATTGATGGTTCTGTGAATTCAAATGTTCATTGTCCAAAACAACATTGTCTCAGTGATACTCAGCTTTTGTCAATTTGTTATACATCAAGTGTGTTGTAGAAGTGCACAGTATAAATAAAGAGATCTTCTCAATAATGTGGTTTTGATAGATCATTTGTGACTTCAGAGCCACTGAGATATGGACCTGATTAATTAAACTAGAACAATTTGAATAATTGGTTTACACTTGGGTAAGTAAGTACAAAGAGCAAATGTCACCAAAGGAACATACAAACTTTTATCATGACATTTGAGGCAAGGAACCAACTGTTTGCACTTATGAACTCAGGATCAGGGCCGATTCTTGACATTTTCAGGCCCCCCACCCCCAAATAAATAGCACTTGAACAAATATGATTCCTAACCTTTTTATTTGTACATTTATTTGAACATCTCATTTTAAATTGAGTATATTTTTACTTTTACAGTACCAGTCAAAATTTGGACACATTACTATGTTTTTGAAAGAAGTCTCTTCTGCTCACCAAGCCTGCATTTATCTGATCATTACTAAAATCTAAAATGGTTTTCTATTTGGCTAAACTTTAAAAATAATCTATTTCTGTGATCAAAGCTGAATTTTCAGCATCATCACCACGTCTTTAGTGTCACATCATCCTTCAGAAATCATTCTAATATGCTGATTTATAATAGCATATTATAATGTTAGAAATAGTTGACTGAGTGATATAATGGCAAGAGTGATATACGTTTATGCATAAAACAGACCATTTTAAATTGAGTACATTCAAACCTACTGGATGATGTTAAGTAGTCTGATGTCACACCTGCTTCTGGTCCCAAATGCTCTATATTAAAAGCAAACAACATACACCATACTCTCACAGTGTGCTGTATAGTATTACTGAAAAATCATGATCTTAACCTTTATCTCCATACCAAAATCTCAGTTGGCCAGGCAGTGATTCAACTTTTCTGAATCTATAAAATAGTGCTGTCCAGAACGCTGTGAGCCTGGAGAAGGGTAGAGTGTGAGTTTTTAAAAGTTTAGCTTAAAGGTATGAATGAATGGTGCTCATAAACAGCTGCTGAGATATTATTATAACTCGAAACAGCATTCAATGCGTCACAACTTAACAAGCGGGAACACTTTGAACCTGGCAATGGTAGCACCGCCCGTACGAAAATTAACCATGGTTTTACTACAAAAATCCATGGTTACTATAGTTAAACCATGGTCCTGCTAGTTTAACCATGGCATTTGTTGTAGAACTGTGGTTATACAAATGGTCATCAATATGGCAAAAATCATGGTTACTACACTTTTACTATAATAAAGCCATGGTTAATTTTTTAAGGGCATGCTGTACCAGCCTAGCAGTTGAAATGTCAGAATGCTGTGGCGTTATTTCAAATCATCATGTTAGTTGTAGTAGTAGTTCATCACACTTCAAAGAACATGTTCCACTAATGTTTGACAACCAGAAAGTATCCCAATACTATTTGTTTCATTTTGAATACTATGTACACTATTTGTTGTCTAATGCAGTACGATTAAGACGTTTCTAAGTGTGTCTTAAGTGTATATATAGAAACTGACTTTAAGCTGAAATCAGTGTGTGTTCCTCTTTGGAGCAACTGTGCTGACATGGCTGACTGCCGTCAGTGCTGGAAGACCCTGGGATGTGAGTTCACTTTGGGTAATGTTGAAGTATGGCATGCGGAGGGGTGCCACGGCAGGAGTCTGCCCTCTGCTTGATGTGCTGCAGAGGAATTTAAGTCTGAAAGAGGGGGTGGATTAAAAGCAACAGTCCAAGCAGGTGGTTTTATTGTATGGAGGTTGAGGGAATATGTGAGGTCTGTACGCCTCCCTCTCATTCTCTCTTTTTGTCTGCTGTTTGTTTGAGTTGTTCTTATTCACATTTTCTCCTCTCTTCTGCTTTTTTTCTTTTTGTTTTCACCTTCTTTTTCTGAAAAGACTTCGCTGAACACACAAAGTAGTTTAAAACTGAAGAACCGAAGAATTTGAAGAACGGATATTTGAATGCATTATTTTTCACACACTTTCCTAATCCATTAATTTTCCAGACTGCTTCTCTTATGTAGGGTCCTAGGGATGCAGAAGTCTCAGTGTCTTGGGCTGTAGGGAAATACCATAATGGATGGCCAGTTCTTTCTAATCCTTTCTTTCTAATCATACATGTATAACAAAAAAAACCCCTATGTTTTATTTTAGAATATTTCCAAAGTTCATCTTGCATTACACAGTGGCAAGAATATTAAAAAAAAATTTTTTTACATTTTGCTGGTAAACATGCATGTTCTTAACCAGTTATTCATCACACACTTTTGAACAAAGTTTTTGGTGTGACAACTGGATTCAAATCCTTGACTACCCTGGTGTCCACTATATTTAAATAGTAGTAATTTTTTTTAACTTTCACTGATAAGCCATTGATGTTTTTTTTCTGTATTTTTGATGAAAAAAATCCTTGCTTGATGAGCATAAATGACTTCTTTCAAAAACATTAAAAATAGTATGTGTCCAAACTTATGAACTGTAAGTAAAAGTATACAAAGTTGAAAATTAAATGTTGTATAAATGAAAAGGTTAGGAATCATATTTGTTTCAAGTGCTTTTTATTGGGGGTGGGGGGCCTCCAACATGAATTTTACCTAGGGCCTCCAAATGTCTGGAACCGGCCCTGTCCACACAAATGAACTCCGTGACACTTGGAAATTTTCCCTTCACTTCGAGTAGCTGAACTCTGTCAACACAACTCATTGTGCGGTCTCTGCTCCTTATCTTAATCAACAA